ACTTGAATATTATTTTATTCTATTTGTAAACTAATAGTAAAAATATGAACAAGTTCTTTCACTTTGATCAGTGGTGATTTAACACACAGAATCAGCTCCAGTCCTTAGCAAGGAGCTGTGTGGGGGACCCCTGAACCCCGTGTGTTTAAGGCAGTTTCACTAAAGGCAGAAGAGAGGCTCTGTGGCCTCTCCACAGAGGGATCCTTAGCTCTGCTTATGCTCACATTTCCAGACAACCATAAAATCCCAAGAACGCTGGTGTCGAGATTGCATCTGTAGAATCTTCCCTAGAGCACTTAAGTTCAACCTGAGTTTGATACATCAGCTGCACGTAATGGAGTTTTAAAGTTCTGTCTTCATTTTACGGAGAAACATTACTAAGGTGGAATTTCATAAGGACCAGCTTGAGCCAGAACCTACAGATTTGTTCAAAGAAGCCAGTTGGAGCAGAAGCATCTCAGTCAAAGATGGTGATGGGTAGGGGTAGTGCAGAGGTAGCTTGGGCCGTTCTAGGAACCCCAGGATCTTGGAAGGACTGGGGAGAGGTGGGGATTGTCAAGCAGGAAGTGTGTGCTGGAGCTCAGGAGCCCATGTCACTGTGGTTGCTCTGTGTTGTCTGATATGTGTTTATCTGCACAGTCAAGTGTAGTGAGGAGTGTCATATAACCAAAGAGGAGACTTTAGCCACTGCCCTTCTTTGGTCTGGGTGTGTAAGAGAGATAGACAAGGCCCTGAGTTCTAGAACTGTAGATTTGGCTCCTGTTCCCTTCAGCCCCCAGCTAGAGGGTCGCAGTCAGAGCTGAACCTTCTCAGAGACAGCCGCTGCTCTTGCCTTCCACGCATGCACTGCAGTAAAACACACTCAAAGCGTGGCTCCTGCAATGTCCCAAGGCCTTTGTGGAACCATTCTTACTAGCTGACTTCATTCTCTTATCTGTTCCTGCAGGTTGTGACAGTGGCTTCAGACCAGCATCCTGCAGCTCCAGCCCTCCCAGGGTGGGAGACTGTGTGTATCCTGGGCAGCCAGGGCTGGGGGCAGTCTCACTGGCTGATGCTAGATCAGGCACCATGGTGGGAGGGTGGGTTGTTCCAATTGGGTCCGTCCCGGGTCTCACATCTTGTGGATTTCCAGTCCCAGTAACTCGTGAAAATTGTTCAGGTTCCCAAAGATGTTTTGTTCCTATCTACCTACATTTATCCTATCTGAAATTAAAATGGAGAACTTTCAAACTTTTGTATTTTACTCATTTAAAAGTAATGACAGTAACCCTTTTCTACAGAAGACATCATTTTATTAGAAATAACTCCCTGTTTAAAAGTAGAGAGAAGATGGCATTGGTAGCTCTCTTTTACTGATCTCTTTGACGTCTGGCTTAGTGCAAGTCAGCTGGATACTTGTATCAACATCTGAATTCAATCTGCTGGGTGGATGATGTGGGTGAAAGTCTGATGTGAACATCTGATTTCGCAGAGACGCAGGATTGTAAAAAAGGAGTATCGTAGTCATCTCTTCAGATAATCGTGGACCTATTTCTTTAACACTACACTGAAACTGCCACTACTCTTTTTGCAGGCTATTTTCTTTCCTTTTGTTGCCCAAGGCCTTAGGCAGGTGACACAAGTCACTGCTCTACACCCCTAGCCCTTTCCAGGCTATTTCAACATGGAAACTGGAATATGAATACATCTTCTCTCTGATACATTAAACCTATTCATCTGCCTCCCACTTTGCATAGATTTTTTTTCCCCTAGAGAGAATCTTGCATTAATTACCCGGAAAATACTGATTCACTGAGCTTTTCCGATCATCCAGATGTGGACATACCTCATTTTACAGGATCAAGATTACCTTAATGTCCCTACTGCTCACATCACACAAGTTGAAATGTTGAAATGCTCTCAACTTCATGGTGATGGATGTAAAATTTGTGAAATCCTGATTTTTGCTAGAAGCTCAATGTTTTAATTGGCTGTCAGTGGCTTTCTTAAACTTATAGCCTCAACTTTCTTCCTTTTTAAGAAAATATCTCTGGATACCCAAGTCTGACTAAGCATGCTTTTTTTTTTTATCACTTAGTCTTTCTTTCAAAGAAAAAATGTTGCACCATGAGAAATCTGGCTGGTGCATCTCACAGCTAAACCCCAGTACAAGTGCTCTGTCCTGAGCCAGGGAGCTACTGGACCTAGGTGTGTGTGTAAGCATAAACACTCCATGCATGGTTCCGTTTTCTGGTACAGAATAATTAAAAGACTTGGACTTCCCGGTTAAGGTAGAATGCCAATGATGTTTGATGCTTGATCAGGAATATTCTTAGTGTACTTGACTCTCATTTAATGTGAACACGTGTTAGTAAAGAATATCATGAGTATTGGCCGCTGCCTTGATTCATACTAAGTCAGGAGCAGTCACCTACCACTGCCTCTGCACCCCGGTGCAGTGTCAGCACCGTGAAAGGCAGACGGCATCTTTTCTTTCAACCCTATTGACATCCTGAGGGACCCTGGAAATCCCCAAAGTTTATTGGCCACGTGTGGATACCTCTAGCTCAGACTCAGTTCTTACCTTACTCAATTTTCTTGGCCTTCGAAGGTGCATTGGGCCACTCCTCCACTGAAATTCAGTGTTTTTGTTTAGTTTGGTGCCTGGTTTGGTTCTTGTTTAGTGCATGTTTGTAATGCGGCCTAGTGATGTTCATTTGGGGAACTGCGATCTGTGTATGGTGAATCTTTCATCTGGTCCCCCTTTACTCCATCCTACTCCCTTTCTGCCCCCCTCCTGCTAATCACCTGTTCCATGTCAAGTCTACCTTCCAGTTTCCTGTCCTCTTTTCTTCATTTTATTCATTTATCATGATTCAGGTTTTTCAACTAAGAAAAAGCCTGTCATATTTAACTTTCTGAATCTGATTGTTTTACGTAGCAAGGTGGTCTGGAGTTGTATCCATTTTCTTGCAAATTACAAGATTTTATCTTTTATGACTCAGTAATATTTCACTGTGTATAAATAACACATTTTCTTTTATCTACTCACCTGCTGACAGTTGTGTAGAAAGTTTCCAAATCTTAGCCATTGTTAATTGTACCTTTATATACAGGGACATGGATGTGTCACTGCAGTTCCATGTCTTTATTCTTCTGGGATATACCCAAGAGGAATGGAGCTGGGTCAAATGGCATTTCTATTTTTAGTGTTTTGAGGACTTTTCATACTGATTGTTTTTTTAAAGACAAGAAAAATTGAATAGGTACTGTACTTCCAAAATAATGGTCTCTCACCCCACACATGTGTATTATTCTGTAATCTATGTGCTTTAAATTCCTTCATTTAGTAATAACAACAGTATCCACCTAGTCTCAGTGTAATGCTTCACTTATGGTGCTATTTCACTTAATCCTATGTGATCCTTTGAACCCAAGGACCACACCCCATTTTGCAGATGTGGGTGCTTGTGGTGGTTAATTATTCACTTAAGATTAGATGAGGGGTGGATCTTGAACTTCTTTCTAACTCTGCATGGGATAAAAATCCCAGGTCACAACGTACTGTGAACATGAGTATATAACTATCTTAATAAATAGATGACTGTTGATCTTTTTTAAAAAATCAACAGTCAAACAATTCAGCTAGTGATGTCCTAACAGAAGTCTGATGCATGGGGCAGAACGAAGCTAGGCTGAGTGGCTGCAGGGCTGGGTTGAAGGTGTGGGTGGCAGCTCCTTGGGAACTGTGGAGGAAATGGCCCAGTTCCCAGGGTTCCTACCAGGTATAAAAGTCACATGTCCTTGCTGCAAAATCCTTAAACATCTGCTCAGGTCTCCACTGGGTACTGGAAGGAAGCTGTTTTCCAGAAAGCCCTACTGGGAGTGGCTTGCTTTGTTTTCCAGCACATAGTTTGAACTTCCTGGTTTCACAAAAGGATGCACCCGTGCTGCCCATACCCGCAGCCAGGGGACACAGTCAGAACCTTGCCCAGTGTGGGGCAGGAGCTGGGCTGAGGAAGGGGCCTGGACCGCCCCGCCTGTCTGCAACCCCTCTGTCCAGACCTGTGTAAGAATTTGAAAATGCCCCAAATGAACGTGTATGGAAAAATCAAAGTTTGCGTATCAATTCCGGGTTTTCGCGTACTTCGTAGGAGAGAGGGGTTTTCCATGTGGAGATATTTTTGTTGTTGGTTTTTGCAGTACTAGGGATTCGATTTAAGGCTTCCGCTCTGAGCTGCAGCCCCAGCACAAACCCTTCTTTTTCCTTCAAGTTTTTTTGGTCTTTTTGAGACAGTCTCACTATATCGTACAGGCTGCCCTCAGACACTCAGCAATCTTTCTGCTTCAGCCTCCCAGTTGCAGGCATGCACCATCACACCAGGCTTTCTTCAAGGTTTTGAAATGGAGTCTGACTAAGTTGCTAAGCACATTACCTGAGTTGAGCTCCAACTTGTGACTTTCTTGCTTCAGACTTCACCAGTGCTGAGGTCACAGGTATTAAAAATTCTTGAATCAGGTTAATTTTAAGATTCATTCATAAAAGTTATGCAAATGTGGACTTAACACATAAATTGTATTTGTGATTCTGAGTAAGATTAGCAATTTTAACATACAATAATGTTTTATGGTTATTAATGAGCTGCCTTTGGTTTGCTGGTAGATATTAAAGTGTATTGTGAGAAATTATGAACTCTTTAAAATGGGCACATTCACAAAAATGAAAATATTTGTTCTCCTTTGCTTTCAGCCAGAGGCTCATTAATCTAATTATCTACCAATGTACAGGAAATAGAAATACAATTATAAGAATGCTGTATATGTGGGACTGGGGATTTAGCTCACTGGCATAAGCCCCTGCTTAGTAAGCGTGAGGTTGTGAGTTCAATCCCCAGTACAAAAAAAAAGAGAATACTGTATATGTACCATAATTTGCAAGCACATAGCTGCCTCTTTTTTCTAAGTATGTATTTTATATTTTGCCTGAAAGAATAACTTTGCTGTTTTGCTTTTCCCCCTAGATATTGTCAGAAAGATCATACAGAAGAACTTTGAGCCCTCAGCTGATTTCAACAAGGTAACTTTTTTGTTATTAAAAGTAATGAGAAGAAAAATTTTGACTGACTTGAAAATAAACCTCTTAAGCAATGATTACTTAATCTTTAATAGACTTTAATAGACTTTTTCGATTAAGGATTTTTGTGGCGTATTGAAACACTTCATAGATTCCATTTGAAGGCTTTCAAAAGGATCACTGAAGAAAATCTTGTATGTTACTCAGAAATTAACATTTGCCCCAAAGAAATATTCTTTTTTTTTTAGCTAAAGGATAAGTCTTGAGGTCCGAAGTCCTTAGAAACCGTGTGCGTTATCTTGGAAGATGCTGTACTAAAAAGCGGCTTCAAGGTTGAGCAGCATTTTCTGAGGCTGCTGTGTGTGCTCCTGGCTGCTGTCAGATGGGAACTGGGGACAGGCAGGTGGACCTTGCTCCGAAACAGGGACAGGACCTGAGGGTTCAAAGACGGGAAAGAGAGTGGGAGCAGATCCATCAGTGAGTGACACACAGAGGAATAGAGAAAAGTAGCTCGTTCTAACCAGAAGCTCTTCGGGGGAAGAGGCTTTGCAGGTCCGTGCAGAAAGGATCAGAGGGTCCGGGCAGGTGGAAAGCAGCTCTGTTTGTACCCCTGGCTGGGTACCGTGCGAGTAGAGCATTTCGGTGTGAGAGTGAGCGGGCCTGCTGGCAGAGGGAGACATGATATGGTACCTCGAGAGCCTTTGCAGGAGCCCAGTGTGCCTCTGCTTAAGGTGCCAGGTGCTGCCTGTCCACTCTGTTCACCTTCACCCCTGGCCAGAAGAATGTCCTTGCAATGTTGATTGTGGTGCCTGTGTAGGCTGCCCGGGGAACACAGCCAAATAAGTGTTGCATTGAATGCAGAACAAAAACAACAAGTTCAGTCTCCTTGTCATGGTCTTGGTTCTCAGTGCACTGTTCTTTCCTCTTCTCCTGTGATGGTTGCTGTCCAGGGGCAGTAGGCAGAGGTATAGGTGGACATTCTCTCTACTGGCCAGCACAGGGGGAAGTTAACTTTTTGCCCAATGGATAATGACTTCAGGCACTGCAGTTAGATGTTATATTTGCAAATGGCCTCACTGTATTCTTAATTTGCAACAAAAACAATAGTCCAGAGAAAAGTGAATGTAGAAGCCAAGGTGGAAATCCTGCCTGAAAGCCACTGACGTCCAGCAGCAACGGTGACTGAGGGTAGATGACACTTTGGAGAGCTCACGTCCTTCCCCAGGACTTGGATGGTGTTTGTATCCTTCCCCTGCTCCTGGCTTCATTTGTATCCTCCAGATAATTGCTCATGTTGGTCTGTATCACTTGGCGGAATCAAATGACCATTGCCTTTATGTTAGTCTTTAAAAGTAACTTACTATTTGTAGCTAATAACCTGTATGCCGCCTAGTTCTTCAAGGGAATGAGTGGAAACTGGGGACAGTACTTCAGTTGGATTCAGGCCTTGAAGGATGACATCCTGACACCTCCTCCACACCTCCCCAGTGATCTAAGGAACCCAGTGAGCATGAGGCAGGGCTCTGCCAACACTGTCCCAGGCTGAGTTGTTAGCTGGACAGCTCCTGTTGTCCTGGATGTGCCACTAGCTTTGGAGCGCACCCGTGTGCTTACCCCTGGGTAAGAACCACTGGGGTGCAGGTGAAGTGGAGAGAGGATACAGCTGTATCCCACCCCAGCTAGGTATGGAATCAGATCACACTTTCTACAGCTATCCAAGGAGAAAGGGTTTAGTTGGGCAAAAGCTGAGCTTTTTGATGGAATTTAGTCTGAGAGATTCTGGGTGTGATAGGTTGGGTCCCCTCCAACCCTAACCCTGACTCAAGGACTGAAGGGCAAGTTCTCTTTTGGGGTACACTGGCTCAGAAGTGGGGAAGGGAGGGACCGCCTATTCAAGGGGTTCCCAGTACCTCAGTGGCTGCAGGATGTGACAGCTGCATTATGCAGATGAGCCATGAGAAACTGCCAGGCACTGACCTCAGCTTATCGCACAGGGAGGGAGAGAGCCAAGGTATCTACACCCCAGGACCCCAGAGATACTGGTTAGGGTGCTGGGGAATCGGGGACAGTGCTCATTTCCAAGTCCTCCCCATGGATGTGGAGGAAGCCTTTCACAGATGCTGGCTAGTTAATCTGAGGCAATGTAAGAGATAGATAAGGGCCCCGGCCTGGGCAGCAGCACCAGTGTCTTCACAGTGGCCTCTGCCCTGTCAGCACAGTCACACAGGTAAGGTCTGTCCAGTGGGGTGTCCTGGGATGAAGTCTCCCCACCTTCCCTTGCACTGGATCCGAATTTGATTAAGTTCTCATCCAGTTTGACTTACAATCAGAATCATGGAGAGATTGAAGTTTGTGAGCCGAGGTACAACTATACTTTGAAGTCCTTTCTTTTCCCTGAATATTTTTTTTGAGATTTTCTCTCTTTTGCTTAATGCAGTATATTTTACTAGTTGGTATTTCTGGAGTTCCCATTAGGAGCAATGCGTGGTGAGGGTGTACCATGTCATAGCATGGCTTTCCTTTTAAGAGCACACTGTTGGTGGAGGAGAGGCCAAGCCCAAGACATGTGTATACACGTTACAGGCTGAGTCGTGTCCAAAACTCTGAGTCCTCACCTCCAGTAACTACGAATGTTACTGCATTTGGACACAGGATTTTAGAAGAGGTTGTGAATGAGGTCATTAGAGTGGGCCTTCACCCACCGTGACTGTTGTCTTTCTAAGAAGGAGTAGTGAAGACACAGACAGTTACACAGGAGAGACCTTTGAAGGGACAGCGAGGAGGTGGCCACCGATAAGCCAAGGAGGGTGGCTGCAGAGGAAACCAGCTTAGCCCACAGCCACCAGCCTATGGTACCGTCCCATGGCAGCCTGATGGGGCTGAGACAGCGGGGCCATGGGAATGCAGGACTGAAAGAAGTGTGCACCATGCATGCGGAGTGTCCTTGCTCTCTGAAAAGATTCCACCATGGACCTGGTGTTTCAACTAGACTTAAAGGCAAGTAAGGCAAATGAGAGGTGAAGCCTTACCTCCACCGCAAACCTAGGCTCCAACCAAGATGCTGCTCACCTGCTTCACATAGCACAGTCCCAAACCGTTTCATCTTCAGTGTGACGGGAAGAGCTGCCATTGCTTCTCTGCATGTGCAGGCACTAGGTTAGAACCTCTGCACGTTCCTAATCCTCACAAGGTCACATCTCCAAGGAGGAGGTGCTGCTGCTACAGCAGATGCAAGAAAATCCTGTGCTCAGAGAAGCCAGGGCCCTTCCCTGAGGTCACCTAGGGGCCAAATGATAAACCCAGACCAGTCTAACTCCAAAGCCACTAACACCACCCTAAGTCTCGAATGTGAGGCTTATTCCAGCCCACTGAGCATCATCCTGAAATGAGTAATTCGGAAGAAACTGCTTTAGCTGTCTGCAGAGCATTGCAGCCTCGGAGGTATAAAATTTACATAGTAACCACAAAGAAGTACAGTGAGTAATTACCTCTGGGCAAAAGTGGTTGCGTTCTAAGTTTCCCTCCACTCCAGCGTGACTAAACCATCCGTTTGCTAAGGATGGAGTGTAGAGCATGATGCTCCACACAGTGGCTCATGCAGGCATGTTTATCCCTAACCTGTGATTTCAGAGAACCTGTGCTAGATTCCAGAGTCTGGACAAGGTAACCTTGGGTGGAGGCCAGACCAGGAAGGGACTAACACTTGGCATTAAGGGACTAAGAGGAAAAATGAGGAACAGACAGGTGAAGCAACAGAGATGCGAGAAATGACTCTAATAATCCTACTTTTCTCAAGCAGGAAACATAGCTGTACCATTTGCTTAGCACATGCTGGATTCTAAGCATCTTTCCACAAAACTGGCACATGATAATCCTCACAGGGAGGCTGTATCTCCACCAGAGGTTTTGAGCCAGAGGTCACAAGGACAGCTCACTGGTATTCCCCAATCTATTATCCTCTGAGTGACAGGTCATTGGCTGATGATACAATAGTGAGCCATGCCATACCCAGCCCATGCCACAGAATATGGGGGTGAACCACTTCCCAGATTCTCTGCATTCTGGCTCGATATACAAGAGACAACAACAGAATGTCACCCAGCTCACACGGTCCTGCAGAGAAAGTCTTGCAGCCTAACCCTGTCAAGTAGTGGCTGCTCGATTAAATAAAAGTACAGTACATTATTCCTACCATCAGAGTGCCAGGTTTGGGGCAACTCAGGTAGGCTGTACTTAAAGTTTTGTGCCATCAATAGTCCATAAATATAACTCACATTTTCAGGGAGGCAGCTCACTCATGCCCTCCACCACTGCCTTGGTCATTCAGCTGATCTCTGCCAGTAGAACCATGCATTTGCTTGTCATGGGTCCCTGGATTCATTTCCACCGGGTCGTCATTTATCTCTACTCTTCCTCTTGGTTCACTGTCCTAGATTAACTGGGTTGTCGCTTCCTTATTATTCTATATCTCAGTTATTCTCTTTCTTCATACTTCCGCTGGAAGTGGGTACAAGCTTGGGACCTGTCCCTGCTGCTTTCAGTGCCCATACCAGCTCCAACAGCTTTTGGCTACCAATTCAGTACTAATGCAAGGTCAGGTCGTCAGGCAAGGTGTCTGGTGACTGTGGATCCCATCTGCCTGTCTGTGAGAGCTCCCTGCTTCCTCCCCACACAGGAAGAGGAAACACACTGCCCATAGGGATGCACACTACCCTTCGTGCAGGAGGAAAATGCATTCTAGAGGCCCCAGAGGCCACAGAGAGATGGCACAGTGCAAGACAGGAGTCATCACCCATGGTTAATTGTTGCTGAGGGTTGAAGATGAGGGTAACTCACCGCGAGTGTGCCACACAAGGACATTTTAAACCAGCCATAAAAACAATAGCAATTCTCTCCTTCAAAAATCACAATCGTATTAATTGAACCAGTTAACTTTAAGGAAGACTCATTGCATCTGCTTTGCTTTTCTCATTTTGCTGTGGGTTGATGCCTACCATCACTGACCAGGTCTCCCCCCTCCCCCGCCCTGTCACTGATTGCTGCTCAGGAATCCTTGGTGTGAGATCACAGCTGTCACTCCTTTAGTACCTTAATTTATTGGGTTGCATGCCAATCCTGTGGTCCTGTGCTGAATGCTTTGGAGGGAATGGTGAGGTAGTTGTGGGTCTTGGTGTTCCTGGTGTGATGAGGTACAGGAGATGGGAACAGGACAAATGCTGTCAAAGTGCAGGGCTCCCTTGTAGGAAGCAGGAGGGATGGGCAGCACCTGGACTTCCTGGAGGAGGCGCCACCTGCACTGGCCCTTGAGTTTCATTAGCGGTGGGATTGTGTTCTGGGTGAGGAGGCCTTGTGGAGGAGCCCAGAGTAAGGAGGGGACATTTCATAGGATGACAACAAATACCTTTAGAATAGCCAGGAAGAATGGGGGCATGAAGCCCAGCTCAGGCAACAGAGAAACACACTGCGACACTGGCATTTCCAAAACATTGGAAATCCATGGGATACTATGAAGCATGGAACCCACACCATCAGATTTCACTGTGGAGGTGACACTGGAAGACCTTACCTTTGGCTGAGGGGCCCTAGGCAGCTCTTAGTCTCTGTTATAAATAGATCCCAGGGTTAGAGTGTGAAACACTTGGAACTTGCTCTGTAATTCTCCTTCCCATGTCTGACCAGTGAGCTAAGAACCTTTCTAAAATCAAACGCAAACTCCAGCACTGGACTCTGCTCCCAGCCCTGTTTCCTGATGCATGTTCGAGGGCGGGCCCCCTTCCCCACGTCAGCCTTTCTGGGGCCTGTGTTCTCTGTGTGGGGTGGTAATGCTCTTGATTGTGGTTTCTTACTCATGTGAATTTTTCTGTTTTCTTGGTGCACGCTGCCTCTGCCTCACACAAACTCCTCAACTGCTTTGACTTCCACAGCCAGAAAATGTAGTCTTGGCTTTGAAGGTAAAGCTTGTGTCTGCTGTCTGTTCTTTGTCTTCAGCCGGTTAGTGACGTCACCTTTGTCACCTTGTTCTTCTCTGTGTTAGTTTTTTAAGTTATCTGTTTCGTTTTTGTTCCTGTCATCATCTTTAATTCTCTCTTGGCCGTATCCTCAACATAACCTATAAAATTCTCCAAGATCTTGATGTTATCAAAAAGTAGATTTTATACAACCGGATCTCAGGAAGACTTTAGCCTTCAAGCCAACTCTTACAATGCTGCTTTCTTGTTCCTGAGGTCATGTGATGCTTAGAAGGTAACACTGGGAAGGTTGTGTATCTGATATAAAATTTGCACATAGTGCATCTTGAGTATTTCAGTATACCTGTCTCCTGGTTTTGGGTTCAGTGTCTCCTTGGCGTTTAGAAAGGAGGGGTTAAAATTATTGTTTCTAAATTGTCTAGAAGTAGTAATTTGGAATATTTGCCGAGAAATGGTAGGAAAATAAGTAGGTGTGGAAGTTTGGAGTGGGTTGATTTCTAATTAAGGCTTCTAGTTGTCCACAAAGAAGGGAAAAATTTGCTTTTGTGGACATGGGAAGGGGCTCACGTACATGTATGCAGCAAAGTTCAGCCTCTTTCCCCTCATGTTAGCATTTTAACCTCAGTATCAAAGTAGACAGTCTTCACGTGCCATGCACCTGATTTAATGGTTGGGCATTTATTTGCTCACAGACTTCATGGCTGTTATTAAATGCACACTGTGAGCTGGCCACTTGGCTAAGTCTTCTTCACCTTAGATCTATAGTTCTCTGCCCTGGCCAGTGATGATGAGATCACTGCTAATGGACACTTTCTGGGTTGGGGAGCCTGCAGCCCCCTGCTGGGCTGTAACTGGTTTCCATTTCAGTGCTGTCTTTAAGGGGTTGCCATTTGGTTCCAGGATGGCTGCTGGACCCAAGTGGCCATCTGCTTGCTACTCAGCAGACCAACTGAGAGGCAAGATGCTGAGGCAAGGAAAGGGGCTTTGTCCTTACGCCAGTGAAACTAGAAGATGAGTGACTTGTCTCAAAGCCCATGTTGTAGCCAGCTGATTTGGGGGTGGCCTATCCAGGTGTTGGTGGCGGGCCATGGTCTGGAGATGCTTGTCGGTTCTGCCGATCTTAAGAACAAGATCGTTATCTCCTTGGGGTTATTTTTGTTTCTGAGCCATCTGCCACATGCAGTCCTAACACATTACAGAAGGGACAGGCTGGAGAGGGCCACTGACCTCTTGCTCACCCCACACTCATGATAATGAAAGGAAACGTACTTCACCTGGTCCCTGGGGAAGACAGGGTGAGGCAGAGGTAAGTAGGGGGTCAGCACAAGATCTTGTCTCAGTGCTTGACTCGGGGACCTAGACTGCTTCCTATTTTATTTTGCTCAGCCTGACTTCAGCATCTGTTGCGATCCAGCTTGGCCATTAGTTGTCAACTGCCAACCTGTGATTTTCTTTAGTTTTTTTTAGAAATGTGAGTAACAACACACAGGGATTGGAACAAGGTCAAGTTCCATCATCCAATTGCATTAATTTTGCTTTATCTCAGAATGAAGCCCACAGTGGTAAGAAAAGTATGTTTAGGCCCCTTGATTGCATCTAGAAGTGGTGCTGCCCACTGGAAATGAAGGCCTTGTGTGAGCCAGGAGCTGTGTCATCCATTGCTTCGTCTGGCTTCTGCCACAGCAGAAGAAATGCCTTTTTTGTTTGCACTGTGCCTAGTACTCAGTTAAGCAGTCTCTCTAACCGTATATCACCTTGAGTTTTCACAATCACCTGACAAGATCCAAGTTACTATTGCCAGTGTATGAATGCAAAAAGTAAGTGGTCTGTTTTACTGCCAGACTTGGAAAGCCTGAGCCTTTATCCTAAGTTTATAGGCCAACCCACTTGGGACCCCTTCTGTCTGTCTCTCAGACAGAAGCTTTCTTTCTCCAGGTAAATATATTCTACTCTTAAAAAAATAAAAAAATAAATTTATAAACCTCCCAGATCCTTGGTATCTATGAATTCCTCTGTAATTGAAACCAACCCAAATTGCTTCAAATCAGTAGTAACTTCTACTTGTCCTATCTTTGTGGTGTAAAGCACCCTATATGTAGCTCATTCATTGTACCAGTAGTCATGCCCAGATTTATTAAACCATTTGAAAACACAAACCACCTTTGGGGTTGAAATTTATACCATTCATTGCTTGATCTGATACCTGGATCTCTTGCTGGAGATTGAAAGGATGATCGTAATCACTTGGTCCACTATTCTGATAACTCAGTTCTCTGTTCTCTCTGTTTCAGGAAGGAGCTTTGAAATGGAAAAATAGGCACACACCTTGATTCAGCTCATGATGGTGACTGGTTAAAAACGTGAAATATGTGCACTGTGGAATGTTCTACTTCCTGCTTCCTGTGACAGGATGTGCTACTTCTTCTTTTTCAAACTGCAGGTTGCCTACTATGAAATTGGCGTTATCGTCTGTGCTGTCCTGGGCCTGCTGTTCATCGTTCTGATGCCAGTGGTAGGGTTTTTCTTCTGTCTGTGTCGTTGCTGTAACAAGTGCGGTGGAGAGATGCACCAGCGACAGAAGGAAAGTGGCCCCTTCCGGAGGAAATGCTTTTCAGGCTCCCTCTTGGTGATTAGTGTAATTATAAGGCAAGTAGATAATTGGACAATAGCTGATTCCACTTTAGGGCCACTCTTCTATGTTTTAACTTCCACCCGTGAATTTGAAACAAAAATGATGGTAGCAACAAACAGGAAATGGAGAAGTGCTTGTCCAGGAGGAATGGAAAGCCATCTCTGTCACCGGAAGTGAGTGTGGTGGGAAGCTGGCCTGACCTTCCTAACGAGCCAGCCCCCTGGTTTTTCCCCTTGCAGATATCCTGATAGCTCGTAGGCTGCTGAAAGCATTTACCTCCCAAGAAGAGCTGACTCCTCTGAGCTCTGGAGGCAGACAGCACACACAAAGACAGAGCCTGTATTCACTAGTGTTTTCTAAAGAGATCTTGATGGGTGGGTACAGTTCCTGTATTTGAAAATCTGAGAATGCTGTAGAATATAGTAAACTTTCTAATATTATCTAAACCTGCTTTTCTTAAATTTGCTATTTATCTGCTACCCTTTTGTGAAGTCTAGGATGTAGCTCATAATTTAGGATGTCTCTTCTGTCCTTTCTGGGGCTGATTTGGTGAGTCCAGACTGACTCCTTGGCTGAAAATATGCATCAAGGCGCTGGTCTCTGCTCATGATTTTTGGTTACTGTTCCACACTCCCTCATTTGTTCAGCTGATGTTTCCTACGGCAACAGAAACAAACCAAGCCTGTGGATACAGGCCCAAAGACTGAAAGCATCTTCCTTGTGTTTCTCCAAACACTATTTGCTTGGTAGCTGTAGATTTTTCAGCTCTCATTAAGTAAGTGATAATTAGGAATTTAAGCACAAATAGTAAGTCCTCCTTGAAGCGTTAGCAGCACACCCAAGAGCAAAGGTCTGTTAAGTGTGCAATGCATGATTTGGGGCCACCACGCCTGGCAATGCAGTAAACTCTCTGACACACCTGGAGCCGCTCCAAATGTGTCAGTGGGAAATTGTCCTCCATGGACATGAACTGAAAGATCAGGTCGCAGGCCGTGTTGAACACTGTCACTGTGCTAAAATAAAAAAGGAAGAAGATGCAGACACTTGGTTGTATTTTCAAACAACACGTGTGAAAGGATTAACACAGTGAGTGTCTCCGAAAAGGAAATCTCGAGGGAAGGTCGTTGGCTGAGAGGAAGGGACTCTGCTGCAGCTGGCACTCTTGAATTAGTGTAGCTGGCTCCAGCAAGGTCTCCTGAATTAACTAAATTAGATACAAATTGGAAGGACAAAGCCAGAACATTGCCGCTTGCTCTAGGGCAGTGTTATGTGCTGAAGGTTGTGCGGTTAGGCCTTTGTGATGGACATAAACCAGCATCCCAGGATGGACGTGTTTTAGCCTTACAACCTGCTGGTCCGCCACGGGTTTCCTTAGGTTTGGCCTGTGAGCCTCAGGGGTGGCTTGGGCTTCTGGTCTCTCCCTCTCTTCTGTGATCATCTTTTCTAGCTCTGATTTTTGCCTCAGTCTGTTAGTTTCTGTGTCCGAAAAGACTTTGAATCTGTTTCTTTCCATGGGTTCTGAAAGATGGTTTAGGATCCAGTCAATGGGAATCCTGGGTGTCACTGCCTCTGCTTGGCGTTGGGAGTACTGTCTAGAAATCACAGACCACTGTGACTCTGGGGAGAGTTACCTCCTCCTCAGTACCACATGGGTGATGGTTACAGCCCAGAGATCGATCAGGCTCAATGGGGGGTCCCTGTGGATTTCTGGCAACCCGGTGTCTACATGCTTCATTTTTCCAAAGGGCAAGACCCACTGTGTTGCTTCTCATCATAGACTTAGATATCAAAGATGAGGCTCAAGTTAGAAGGGCCATTTGAAAATTTTGCCCTAGTTGTCTTGTTAGAAGAACAAAGCTCTTCTAACAAGTTAATCATTTTCATCTGATGCAAATTCATATATCATAATTTCAGGAAAAATTTTTATTCTGTGTAGTTATTTATCTAAATAAACATTTACATACCTAATAATGGGCTTACCATTTTTTAATAAACATATGCTCCATTGGATTCCTCTTTTTATATTAGATTTCTATTTGCGTTTTATGTGATATATGCTAGTTTGCTCTGAGCTGAGTAGTTTGCATTATGTTTAAAATACGAGACTATACAAACAATAAAGCCACAAAACCAAAAATATACTTGGTTTCTATTTATGTGTATAAAACAAAGACCACCATATTTTCTTTTATTCTCAAGATTCAGATCCATCAAATAAATTTAGATGTTTTTTCTTTTCCAGTATATGTAAGTGTGAAAATTCTTTCTAAAGATGCATGCTATTTTTGCCCAACTAGGTATGAAAAAGTATATTTTTACACAACTGGTTCTAAATTGGAGTTGTGTTATGAGAATTATTTTTTCTTTAGATTTAGAAAACTTTAAATTTGACCATAAACTAGAGGTATTTTGATGTTTTCCTTTTGAAATCCTTACTGGTTTGTAAATATCTTAAACATCAAGAGTTAAATAATAGCTAAATATTTTGTTTTCAAGTAACCAAAGCTAGCCAAGAAAACTAAAGCTCTAGGGAAAGAGGACATTTCTATAAGTATGTCACCAAAATCAGAAGATCAGATCAAAATAGGAGACAGTGTCAACCAAATTAGAAGACAGAGAACAAATGTCTGTGTTAGTGTCATCTCTCTCTTTCTCTTCCTGGCTTAGGGCAGGGCCTCGGGCTTAACATTGACTTCAGCAAAAATTTAATACTATTGATAAACAGTCTTTGATATGACTTTTTAAAAAAATTTTCTCACAAATTCACACTAGTTTTAAATTGTTTTAAAAATTAGCCTCGACTGACTTTCATTTAGCCCTTTTTAGTTCAAAATTTTCATTTTAACTTAAGTTTATTTTTGAGAAAACCATAGGTGGATCTTTGTGTGTGTGGAGCACCCGGGTCGTGCTCTGTCTCTGAGCCTTTCCAGAGGCAGCTGCTGGATGTGGGAGTCGGGACCTGGGCGCAGGTCTGGGGAGTCCGGCTGAGTGGTGTGGAGATTGAATTTCCACCTCTCCCTGGGGGCTCGGCAGACGGGTCTCAGGCCAAGAAAAAAAGAAAACAGGTTTCCTCTCCTTTGTTTTGTACTTGTCATCACTGCATGTTTCAGAATTTCAAAAAGCCTACAGAGTGAGAGAGAGAGGCAGGGAAGGAAGGAGGCAGCAAGCCAGGGAAGGAAAGAGAGAGATGCTGTGCCTTGACTTCTTTTGTATATGTCCAAGTTTCTGAGTACGAGAAGGCAGCTTTGCTGTCACCCTGGGAGCTCACCAAATCACAGGAGTCCTCAGGAAGCTGGCTGCTTTCAGGTTCCTGTGCATTAGGATTTGATCGTCAGTTCCTGGCTTGAAGGTCACAGGAGTCCAATAAAAACGAAATTGAACTATAGCGTGCCTGAAAATCGTGAGACTTTCTTAATGGGAATGAGAGGTCCAGGAATTGTAATTTTAAATTCCGAAATGATCTTTAAAAAAAGATCAGTTGAAGGCTGAAAGCTTTTATTTGGTTTTCAAGGGCTAATTTAATTCAGCAGCAATTTTCAGGGGAAAAATAGCCACAAGTTTTTTACAAAACTTTTTTACTCTAAAAGTTTTAAATATTTACTCATAGATATATATGTGAGACTGTTGTTTTTCCATAACAAAATGTAGAATTATTAAATATAATGTTAATATGCCATAAGTTTTTTTTTAATCCCATCTTTGCTAAAAGTTTCAGGAGATTTTGTTCTGCATAAAAGCACACATTTTTGATAGTCTGATGACATGTGAAGAGCTAGTTGGTGAAGGGATATTCACTGAAAATTTTTTCTTTATTTATGTTACATGAACTCCTCTCTGTATTCTCATATCCTAATAGTTGATGGGTTGTTGTTAAAGTTATAAAAACACAATGTGATTTTTAAAAAATACACAGTAACGTCTAAATAAAAAAAATCTGTGTGTGTGTGTACGTGGTAGAGCTTGGTAGGCAAGCACTCTACTGCTGGGCTACACCCTCAGCCCCAAAGTTCCATTCCTTGATCCTCTATTTTGTTGAAACAAAAGGATTGAGTTAGTGATGGTAAATAGAGACCAGTGGTTCTGCGGAGTACATTTCTTAATTGGTAACTAGTACTTTTGAATGGGGAGGTTTTCCATTAGAATCTAGATCTCCAGGTGCTTGTGGATAATGCAGAGGTCTTGGCAGTACTGGTCTGCCAACGCAGTGGTGCTGGATGCCCTCATCCCTGGTGTCTGTGCTTTCCGGAGCCATAAACAGCTGGCCCACCCCACCTTTGTTCTCCCAGCCCCAGAGAGACCCCTGGGGTCTACTTTCTCCTTCTGCCTGCATTTGCATTTGTTATTCTTCATTTAAATATAAATTTACATTCTGAGGAAGTCTGCACATCAGCTTTGAAAGTGGCTGTCCAATGTTTCAGAATTGTTCAGTACTTTTTTTTTAAAGATAGTATGTTTATTTTCATCAATCCATATGGATTAGCAGAGACAGGAGTCTTTAAATAGTGTTGAAATTTAGTATCATACTGAAATGTTGCATTGCAGTTCATTTTTCTGATTAATGATCGCTTGAGTCAAGACATTTATTCAATAAAGAATCAAGGACAGTTTCTGATTTAGACACTCCAAATAGTTAGGGAATCTACTAACCTGACTCTATGAACAAAAGCCCACTCCTTCAACATCGCTCTTGGAGCACCCCTGGGGGCAGGACTGCATTATGCAAAACTGGCACACAGGTTCCAGGTCTTTGCGGGAAATTAAGGCCAAGGAGCATGTGAAGTGAAAAGCTCCCCATCAGAATTGGAAGGAGAAGCATCTGGGAAATGAAGCGTAGAGATCAGTGAGGGCCAGAGGAAGTAGACTTCTAATTTCCCTTTGTATATGACTAGGTGGGTCCAGAGCATGAGGAATGGCAAAATAATCTGGACACATTGGAGGACAAAGCAAGTGTGCCCAGGATGAATAGTATCTGGGGGTGATCCTTAGTGGTAATCGTATAGAATTATTTTTAATTTGCTTCCATAAATAAAACTGCAAGGGCTGTGCTATAATCCAACTTTTGCCTGTGTGTTTGTTTCCTCTTCACACAACTCAGATCATTACTTTGAGTCACTGGGCTTTGTTTGGCCCGAGGGTATCATTTAATAGCTTATTGGTGTGGCATAATGTCTGCCTCGTAAGTACCTATCCATTAGAATGGACCTAACGGTTGATAAGAGAATCATTCTAAATGGCACAAAATATTACAGATATTTATTCCACCCACCATCGGAAGAAACCCCAAGCTAAAAAGAAAATTTGAGATTTCATGAACATTCAGTAACCCTCTTTTGCAGCTCCAAGAGCACTTACCCAGTGTAAGTTGGATTAGATCCATTTACCTAGTTGGATCTGAAGCTCTAAGCAGATCTTTTTAGTTTGAAGATGTCTGCTGAGGTTCCCAAGCTTGCATAGTGCAGAGAGGAACCAGAATCCAAATCTGGTTTTTCTTCTGCAAATCTGGTTTTTCTCCTTAGTGGTGAGAAATACTGCTCGGGGCTATGTGTGATGTACACCTGTCCAGGCTGTTTGGGCAGCCTCGTGGATTTATGTGACACTGCAAAGGAACAGTTTTTAAGTGAGACAGCAAGGAATCACTGCTTCTAGGAGTGTGTGTGTGTGTAGGTAGGGGTGAGTACCCACGTGTACCAGGACTCAGAAGTTTACCGGGAACACACTAGTTTTTTGTATAAAACCGGAGCTTGGTCACTCTGCTTGCAAATATATGCATTCACAAAGCCCAAAAAATTGCTTTGCTGAGGTCGTAGTGTATGGATTTTCTGCGTGTTTTCTTAAAATTTGCCTATTACTTGCAAAACTTGGTTGTAAAAATCATATCCAGTTTCTATTGGCTGGTCACAAAAAGGAAAAAACCAAACGATTTTAATTGTTTCTGCAGGTAACTGTGTTGCGCTTAGTTTGTGTGCTTGCTGCCACCTAGTGGGCAAATCGAGAGGGACCGTAGCCATTCTCATTTGCAGCGTTTTGAGTGTTCATGGGCTTCTTGCTTTAAAAGCAAATCAGTTTTGTCAAATTACTGTAGACTTCCTCCTGTTTCCGATTGTGTGAACTTACCACCTGCTGCCTTTTTTCTGGATGGGCCTGCACATCCTGTTTATAAAGCCATTTTCTGTGCACAGTATGTTTCGTTTGTACAGAATTGTAATTTTTGCTGAGTGTACAGTACTGTAGTTTTGTGTTGTTATGCAGTATGACACGGAAGAGTTATGTAAACAAAAGCAGAGTGACCGTTAGAATTTCCTTTGACCATGTCTTTATTCTTAATATTGTAATGTACATATCCAGTTTCTATTTGCGGTTCCTCATTTAGTAGGGGATTCATTTAATGATCCAACCTCAGGAACAGAACTTGGTTGTTTAAACAAGAAATCCTCTTGCCTCTGATGTTCTTGTACTTCATGTAAAGTGAGATAATACAATATGTACTCACTCTATTGTGTGTGGCTTCTCCTGTAGCACTTTGATGTGAAAGTAACTTATTTCCCTCCCAAATGGACAGGACAGAAACGGACAATGAGAGAAACCAAGAATCCTTGAGGGCCCCTGGACCTCTCATGTGGTTGTTTCAGCGGCTTCCATGTGAGGGAGCAGTGATGTGCGATGTATGTGTGCATAGGTGTATGTGGGGGGTCACAGGCAACACTGCAGGCTGCTCTGACTCCATGGTAACCTTACCTGGCCACAGTCCGCGGTGGGCCCTGCTCACCCAGTGGAGTCACTTCTGAACAGGACACTTGGTCTTGAATGCCGATTTGTCTTTTGGGAGATCTGAGTCCTGTTTCACGGCCCATGGTAGTGTCACCTGGGGGTCTGAGTGGACAGGAGGGATGGAGATGGGCCGCCTTCTGGAGCCCCATCCACTCCTGCTATGCAGCAGACCCAGGATACAACATCCCTCGGTAACTGTTTTGCCTTCCACTGCAGCGTCGGCATCCTGTTCGGCTTTCTGGCCAGCTTCCACATGCGGGACTGGATCCAAAGGACCCAGAGCCTGGCGGACAGCAATCTCAAAGACTTTCAAAAGCTCCTGGGCGGAGCTCCGAAGGTAACAGTCCCAGTCAGGACTTCGCATCCTGAGTCTGTTCGGGTTTCTGTGTCTGTGTCTATTCTTGGCCCGCACCCTTCTGGGAGCCCAGCAGATCCCTGTAGATGGGGTTCTCTTAATGCCATGGATAAAAAACAAAGATCACAGGTGACCCACAGGCTTGCAGAAGCGTAGTTTCAGAATTAGTGTTCTGATTTTGCTTGATTTTATTTTACTAAGGTCTAACAAAATCATAATACACATTTTAAAGCTAGTTAATTTTAAAGAGTCTCATGATTCTTTTAAGTCTTGGGGAACTGGTATCTTTTCCCTTGGGCAGTACAAAGAACTTTTCATCCCTTGCACAGTTGCTCTTACAGTGAAATCCTTTTGACTGTAAACACCCATGTGTCAGTACCTGTATGTGTGTCATGTTCCTCTCTTACACACTCATGTGCACACAGGTTGTCTGGTAAGGACAGAATGCCTAAGGGGCAATGATGAGGGAAGGCCCTCAGAACATTCTCTGGAAATGTGGCTGGGCAGGAATTCGCCTAAAAATGCAATGCTTATGTGTACCAAAGTCAGCAGGGGAAAGCCAATAATGGCCCACTGATGAGGAAGCCTGCCAGTGGAATGGACCTTTACATGCAGGCTGTGTTCTTCCACAGCCTGTTCTGTCTATTCTGTCCTAAGAATATTAGACATTCAGTATGTACTAGTTTTTTGTTTTTAAACAGTTGGAAATAAAATAAAATAAAAAAAGAGAAAACATGCACACATTTTTAAAATACCGAGAGCAACTAGTATTATGGCCTGAGTGCAAGATGGAAATGTTTGTTTTTCCTAATCTTTGAGTAAATATTCGTAATATTTCTTATTTGACATTCTAAAGACTCCCAAGATCAACTTTTTCCCTGAAAAGCTGGCATACTTGGACAACACTGATGGCTGGTGAAGTCTGGGGTGGCTTTCATACACCTTCAGAGGATAGAAAATGGCCATCACTTTGGTGGAAATTAATTTGGTTCAGCATACGTGAAGGAGTCTAATAAGTCATTACAAGCTGGATAGAGGATGTGAGTGTACCGACAGAATCAGTTGACAGAATAAAGGCAACTGGTCTCAAATAAAATATGTTGAACTTATTCTAGTAATTGTAGAAGAAAATTTAATTAGTGATCCATATTTTCACTAAGAAGGCTTTCAGTAGTTGTTGAAAAATGATAATCCGCAGGATTCCTAAGGGAATGGGAGATGAGTCCTCTGAGCCACTGTAGACAGCAGGGCACTCAGCCCCTTCAGAAGCCATGTAGGAAGAGTCAGTAATACGAACCCACTGTGCCACACTGCAAATGGCTGCAAATTCTTGATAGTTCCTCATGTCTCCCAGCCATTGGTGTCCAGGCTGTCTGTGATGTGCTTTTGACCAGGACAATTCATGACTTTGTGCTAGTCTTGATCTTTGGCTTTCAGAGGCCTTGCCATGCCCACTCTTACTGGCAGTAGGGTCACCATGAGAAACCATCCCATACTGGTCACTTGGAAAATACAGGGTCATGTGGAAAGAAAGAGACCCCACCTGTCTCCAGCCATGCTGTCCCCTGACAAGAAGGTCCATGTGGCAGTCCTCAGAATCATGAGACATAAGGAATCATTCCGAGTAACAATGCAGAATAAGTAGACTCATGCTTATTAAAGGAAGTGCTTTTTGGTCAGTGGCCAGATAGTGTTATGAAGAAGTCTGAGGGTCAGGAAATAACAACATTTCTGAAACTTTCTGGGGTTCTTAACGTTCTGATTCAAATTAATTTTTTTGGTACCGGGGATTGAACTCATGACCTCATGCTTGCCAGGCAAGCACTTAAACCACTGAACTAAATCTCCAGTCCTTAATTCAAATTAATTTTAAGTTAGTTTCAGGTTACTTTTTGAATGTCAAGCCTCTTCGCATGAGCTTTGTATTGTGGCTTTGGACCTTATGAGAACAGTTTCATGGCATTTTCTTTTCCAGCAAATTAACTACATACTGGCTCAGTTCAATACCACCAAGGACAAAGCATTCTCCGATCTGGACAGTGAGTAACATGTTGCGTTAAATTTTGTTTGTTTGTTTTTGTTTTGGCTCTAAAGATACTGTGGTCACCCCCACCCCTATACAATCTGACTAAGAAATGCAGTAAGTGAAGATAGGGAAAATGGAAAACAATTCCCTGGCATGATTGACAGCTTGCAGTCTCTTACTGGATGGTCCCAATCCAGGAGTTCTTAAAAGCTTTTGTTTCATAAGCAGGAGGAGTTTTGGTTTTGTATTGTACATTTCTTGAAAACCTTCTGCTTTCTTGGGCCACAAGCACTGTTGTTCATTCACTGTATGGGACAAAAAGTGTGTCCCTGCCAGTTGCCCTGTTGAAGTGGGCTTCACAGATAACAAGGGGACAGTGCTGGTCCCTTTATGCCACAGGAGTCTTGCACAGCTTGGCTTAGTGGTTCTCAGCTGTGGGTGACATTTGGTGACATCTGAAGACATGTTTGGTTGGCACCATGTGGTGAGATGGGAGCTGTGTACTGGCATCTGTCAGCAAAGGTCAGGGAAGCTGCTCAGCACCCTAGGGTGCACACAACAGTGCCCAAAATAACAGCAGTGCCACCAGGTCTAGTGGAAAAGAGGGGATAGATGCAGTTGCTCAAGGTGATAAGCCCTGTGTTCATGGCACAGATGGTCTACGGGTCCGTGTGACTGAGTTTTCTCTGATGTGGGGAATTCGAAGTATGTGACAAACCTCCACACCAGAGCCAGCCCCTGAGCAGGGTCTGGATTAGAAAGTGGAATCGCAGGGTGGGAGGCGGGGTTCGTAAGGGACCTATACTCACCCAGCCTTCTGCTTCTTTGAACCCAGATATTAATAACCTGCTTGGAAGCAAAATTCACAACCGACTAGCAACCAAAGTGACTCCTGTTCTGGATGACATCAAGGTCACGGTGGCAGGTAAGCATGGTGGCACAAATGATGACAAATGGAGGCAGTTGAGGGGTCCCCCTCTCTAACCTGGGTTTTCCTGAGAGTTCATCCAGATGAGAGCCTAAGTCTGAGGTCGTGCAAACAGACCAAGTAAAGATGCACAGAGACATGGCAGTTTGCTCAAAATTTGTACCAAAGCTGTTACAGTGATGGCCTGAAAGTGATTTGAGATGATAGTGCCAAAATCATTTTTGTTAATAAAGTCTTTTTGGAACACAACCGTAGACATCTATCCATGGGTACCATTCGTCATGGCTTCTGAGATGGCAGAATTGGGCAGTTGTGACACAGACCATATGACCGACAAGCCTAGGATATTTGCTACCTGTGCTTGCAACGAAAATGTGTTTTGACCTTTGATATAGAAGAGGAATAGGGTATAGAATTTTAGGCCTTCTGAAGTATGGTACTTTTTCCTTTGCCTTCTGATAGAATAACTTTTAGAAGCAAGAAGTTGCATATATATCTCCAGCTCCTCTATGAGCAGTGGTTTAATCAGATGCACTTTAATAATAAATGTATTTTACTACAGTGAAAAAAAGACCTCAGGAACACAGAATACTCCAGTCTTCCAAATGCTGAGAGCAGTGTCAGTGCTGGGCCCTGCGTGGAGGGGATGATTTCCTCTCCATGAAACATCGGGCTGGTATAAATTATGCTTTCATGAGCTGGTGTTTCTGAGACAGTAGAGCACAGTGGGTGGGGTCATGTTGAAGTTGTGTGAGTGTGCCTGTTTTTTATGGTGTTTCTTATGGTTCAACAGTCCGGGAAAAAAACTGAAGAGGGTGTGCGGAACAGGCCAAGAGTTGGCAGGATTGGTCTTAACTATTTGGAAAGGTCTTTCCTGTCTTTCTCCTTGACTTTGCAGAGGACCTGGCGCAGCTCAAGGAGAGTCCTCTGATGCCTTCGATGTCCCCAGACGTCTGATCTCAGCTCCAACCTTTCCTTCCCAGGGCAGGAAACTCAGACCCAGAGAAGGGTAGAGACCTCAAAGACCCAGGCCTCCTGTCGTCCTGTCTTTTTTCTTTTCCCGTGTAGCTACTTCTTCCCTCCTTTCTTTCCCTGGCTCCTGCCTGTCATTCTGTTCTTACTTCCTGCCTAAGAGACCCATCTCTAGGTCTCTTCCTCTTATAAAGACACCAGTCCTGCCTAACTAAGGTCCCATGCTTACAGTCTTATTCAACCCAAAGGTATTTTCTTCACATACAGTCACATTGAGGGTTAGGACATCAGTGTGGCCATTGCAGGGGGATCCTTAGTCCATAGCTGGGGAGTGGAGAAGTTCAGACCTGACAAAGCCTGTGCTTTCTGAACAAATAGGGTCAGTGCGTAGGGAGTGTCTGGCTGTTGGCAGCAAGGCCACGTGGTGAACCTTGGGAGGATGAGTTGGGAACCTGAGGTTCAGGTGTGGCTGTGGGCTGATGCCAGGCACCCTTGCACCACATCCCCTGTGCATCGGTGCATTTGGAGGGCGAATCTCCCAGATCTCCAGCTCTAAGTTGCACAAGGATAAAGGCCGTGCAAAAGTCCGTGACCAATACAGCTCACCTGGTGTGGGTGGACCTTTACCTTTGCCAAATGTCCCTACAACCTTTAACATTTAAATTTTAGAGCTCCCGCGATGAAAGCGATTGGAGCAGACTTTACTTTTCCCCATCTGTGCTTCCTGTGTTAAGGTTGTACTTTTTTTTTTAAGCCACCCTGAATAAGTCACAGTTTATTGAGCTCCGGTTGCTGCCAGAGCTTCTTCAACCTGCTTAACAAATCGCTGTAGCAAAGTTTTTGCTAAAACTTCTTCACAGCCTTTGTGTTTTGAGCCTGTGGAGAAAGCCCAAGCATGCAGTTCTTTTGTGCACATCGTACATCATATTTGAGTTGCAGGTCAGGACCTAGAGAAGAAATGAGCGGCACTGGGCAGGCGAAATGTTAATTAACCAAAATTAAAATCTGAAAAGTCTTTTCTACTTATCTCAGATGCGCAATTTATGTGGTCTTGATATGCTTGAATGAATCCCAGAGTTATAACCCAGTCAATATTTTTATAGGCACAAAGTGCTTTGAAGCTTTTGGAAGATATATGTTTATTACCTCTGAGTCCTTCTCGGCACATGTCATAACATTATCTATACCCCAGAATGTCTAGAGATGATGCTTAAGCATACACATTTCCTGGGTCATCCATTTATTTTATCATCTCTTCTTTCTGTCTCGTTGTTTGTTTCTGGTACTAAAATAATTCTTCTCGAAGCAAAGGGGGAAGGATGATGGGAGGTAGAGCTCTAATGTTACAGCCGGGGTTTGCGGGGCAGGATTTCAGCACATGCTCGTTTGCATTTGCTGTGAGTCTCTGTTTTTTATTTTGCTGTGTTGTGTATTTATCATGTGTCCTCCCGTGTGCTGGGTACCAGGCCTCCTGCTTTGCTATTAGTGCTGAGAAGTAGGCAGGAGGGATGAAAATTGACTCTCAGGGGCTCCTTGACAATCCTTTTTTAGGTACTTACATCTATGACCGTCACACTGAGCTACATCCGCAGCTCTGTGTTTCATTTTCCATTTTAACATAAGTTCTTGCTAAGTCCCTAAATTACCCAGACTGGGCTAACACTTGGGAGGAAGCCTTCTGCTTCAGCCTCCTAGAATGCCTAGGATTAGGTGAGAGAACTTGAGACTAAGGGTCATAGAGAGCCCAGTTCTGGAAGCCTCCTCAGTCTCTGGGTAAAGCCTCAAAGCTGGTTGCAGTATGGAATGAGACGAATTAATATGGGTGACACTGTCAGTCTTAACGGCTCAATCACAGACTCCTCACGTCTAGGTTAGGACCCGGCCTGCTCCTTGACTTCAGAGGAGGAAGCCGAGGTCTCTGGAGAGGAAAGCTTTTACCAAAGGCAGCCTAACAAGGCTGCAGAACCATGATGAGACCTCAGGCCACTTTCAGCAGATGCCACAGCACCGTGGTGTGTGTGTGTGTGTGTGTGTGTGTGTGTGTGTGTGTTTGCACTCAGAACACTCAGGTCTTATGTAGCTCTCAGGGAAAGGGAGGGACACACCATTTTTTAAGCCCCCCCCCTTTTGCTCACAGCACTCAGTGACTGGGTGATGCTCAGTTATCCATTTTATTCTCCAAATTCTGGATCTTGTTGAGGACGAAGAGTTACACCCACCGCTCTGCCATCTTCCTCCTACCCCTGTCATTTTTTGTCTTGTGAGCCACAGAGCAAGAAATCTGACCAGAAAGACTTAATCACTTTAGAAGAACAGTGGCTTCCAGCTTAAATTTCCTGTCTTTTACCAAGGTGTAGAGAAGAATTGAAACTCCCCACGCCCCTCTCTCAAGGATGGCGCTCTGCCCCACCCAGAAATCACACGGTGAACAGTTCTTCAGGTGTCTCAGCATGGCTATGTATCCCGGGTTTTGCATGGGAGTCCCTGTGTAAAGGACAGAGTCACCGACTCGGAGACATTCCAAAGCTGGTGGTGCCAGCATTTTATTACAAGGAAACTGGCTGAGGAAGCTTCTAGAATCTACTTGTAGCCTTATGGGAAGCAGCGAAACTGGGATCTAAGCCTAAATATGCCCAGATCTAAAACCATGTCCTTTCCTGTGGCTCTAGGTTTAATTCTAGGTTTCTGAATATTCATAGGTTAGAATGTGTCTGGGTTTAACTTGTTTCTGCATGGACTGAAACTTCCTGGGATGGACTTGGATGCACATCTTCAAGGTCAAGCAGCAGTGTCCTTGTCCTCCACTTAATGGGGCACCCAGAGGTGCTGGACCCTGATTCTGGTTTCAAAGAAGCCCCACACAGGCGCACTGAGTTGTGGCGGAGCTGCAGGGGAGCCCTGTGCGGCTTCTTGGCTGAGCACCCCTCATAGTGTCTGGGTGATGTGGGTGCAGAGTTCATCTTTGTTCACAAGCGGGCAGTGCCTGGGTCACCGGCGCTCATGCACTGTGTCCCTTCTGCAGCCATCAAAGTGACCAAGGAGGCCTTGGAGGGCATGAACAGCAGCGTGCAGAGCCTGAGGCAGGGAAGCCAAGATCTGCACAACAGCCTGACCAGCGTGAAAAACGACATCCAAGGGGCGCTGGGCGGTGATGAGTGCAGAGCAGGCCCAGCAGTGCAGACCTGCAATGACATCAGGGCATCTCTAGACCAGCTGGAGGGCACCCCCGGCCTGGACCAAGTGAGCAGTACCCGGCAGCTGGGGTGGAGAGCAGTTACCCCCAGCCCTGGCAGCTTTGTAGGGACCTCTGTTAACTACTGTGGGACAAGAGCAAAGAACATAACAGAACCTCTGCATAGGAGTTTGTGTTAACTTTTTGTTTTTTGTTTTTTGCTTTTGAGAGAGGATCTTGCTCTGTAGTTCTACCTAGCCTGGAACTTACTAGGTAGTCCAGCCTGGCCTGGAACTTGTGATGACCCTCCTGCCTCAGCCTCCCCAGTGCCAATACTACATCACACCATGCCTGGCTTATATAGACCTTTAAAATTAAAATATAGCCTGGTGTGATGGCACACATCTGTAATCCCAGCATTCAAAGAGCTGAGGCAGGAGGATCACCATGAGTTTGATATTAGCCTGGCCCTCATGGTGAATTTGAGGCCAATCTGGACTACATAGTAAGACTTTGTCTCAGAAATCAGAAACAAACAAAAAAGATTTTTAACTTGACTCACATGCTATCTCTGGGTTAAATTTCTTTGTCTTTTTTTGAGCTAACTGCAGCAGGAGACCTCTAAACATCTAAAACTGAGTGCTTAGAGAGCCTACTGTGAGCAAAATATTTTTCCCCAAGTAATGTCCTATTGTTCAGAAGAAAGTGAAGCCGTATCCCAGCAGATAGGGTTTGGATCCCAGGTAGCTCTCCTTTTTTATTGGGATTAACTTGGAGAATCTTTATATTTTGTCTTATACATTTTCAGCTCCCATCTGTGGATACAGAACTTCAAAACATTGGTAACATTTCTACAAGCAATTTGGATGGCCTAGTCAACCTGGTATGTTTTTTTTTTTTTAAATACAATGGCTTACTTTATATCATTTACCTTTATTTTTATATACTGGGGATGCAACTCATGACCTTGCACTTGCCAGGCAGACACTTGTACCACTGAACTATATCCCTGGCCCATTAATTTATATCACTTGAAGAATAGACTAGTGTGTAAGAAAATAGGAAGCTAGTAAAGAAGCCTTGATATTCTGAAGAAGGAATCCCAAGAAAGCCAATAGTTATGTGGTTCATTATTGCAATTCAAGAAATTTTTATGAAGCATCTATTATGTGCAAAGTATCATGCTAAGACCACTAGAGAGCAAGAAAACCATGACCTGTGCTTCCCTGGGGCTCAGGACTCAGTGTTTTTATTTATCCTAAGATTGAAATTGACATTCTCAGTCATCAGCTGTAAGGCTGAGTGAAATTAATCAGACACAGCTTAAACATTACATAGTTTCTCTTATATGAGATGCTCAAAGCATTAGGAATTAAAGAGTAGAATAAAAGATAGATAAAAAGAAACAGGAAGATAAATCTTTTGCAAATGGGAAGAGGATCTAGTTATGGAAAATGGGTGGGGTAAGGTCGTAGAAAAAGATATGCTGTGGGTATATGTCTACTCCCCATAGGAAGTATAATCAACATGCATTAATGAAAAATAAAAAAAAATGTGGTCATGAAGAGTCCAAAGAAAAGTCTCTTCTGAGAACTTTTTTTTGTTGTTTAGTGGTGCTAGGAATCAAACCCAGAACCTTGCACATGCTAGGCAAGTGCTCTACCTAGCTCTGAGAACAATTTTTAATTGAATAAATTGAAAATCATGCCAAGTTTTTCATGTAAGATGTTTCCATAACTTAAAAAAAAATCAACCTATTTGCTCATACAACTCCAGGAATTATTATTATGCACAGGTGCAAAAAAGGACTTTATTTATTTTATTTCTCGATTTTATTTTTTATTTTTTGCAGCATGACAATCACACTGACATTTTTTTAATTAAAAAATAAAAGACAGAATGAAACCAAAAACAATGGAAGAAAATAATAAAGGTCAAAAAACACAATCCCTTATCAAACTGTCAGCATTATTTTTCTTATGGATTGACATTTTGACTCTTACATTTCTGTAGAAGTAAAAAAGACTAATAGTCTAAACAACTTTGATAACAGAGCAAAATTAGAGCTCCAGCCCTTCCCAATCCCACAAAATCACACAAACCATGACAAAATGGCATTGATACCAACATAGACAAGGCACCGAAATACCAATATAAAGTCCCAAAATAGATGCCCACACAGACATTTGATTGCTGGCAAAGATCAAAAGCAGGGAAGTGGAGAAAGGATTTTACCGTCAACAAATATACTGGGACAACTGGATCTCCACATGCAGAAAACCCAACCTTATTACACACCCAAAATTTCATAAGACATCCAAAAGGCAGCCCAAAGGACTCTCGGTGGGTTAAAGTGAAGGTGGGTGTGACCTGAGTCCTTGCTTGGCTGAAGTCACTCTCTCTGGGACAAAATATGTGTTTCTTCCTTATCATACTAATGAGACAGTGTGATGATTATGCAAAGGCTCCATTTATTAGCCAGCCACCCACCCGAGCTGATGAGGCTACTGTGTCGCTTGCTCTTCGCACACTGGTGTCACTGCGTTTGTGAAATGACAGAACTGAGCTAGCATAACCACAAGACCCCCTGTAGCCATGAACTGCCCGCAAAGGGTGAAAAGTCCAGGGGAAGACAAACTAGAGGAGCCCTGCGGATGGCCTTCTCTGAGTAGCCTGTGGCACAGAAGACAAAGTGAGAAGTGGCAGGCACCGTAAATCTTTTTTTATGTATACAAAGATATATTTTTAAAATTAAGTTAATAGGTACATTTTAGATATACATAATAACCACATTTATCATAGGGAGTTGGTACCTGTACATACTATATCTTGATTCTTTTTCCCTCCCTGCCTTTCAACCTCTTTCTCTTATTTACAAAAGTCTGTTTCCATTTGTTTTCTTCTATTCTTTTTTTCCTAGTTCCTATTTTAAACATTTTCTTTCTATTTCATAATATCTATTATACATTTTGTTTCTTATTTACGCATTGGGATTCTCACACCAGAGAAACAATGCAATATTTAAACATGTATGTCCAATTTATTTCCCTTAAAAGTATGGTCTTAAGTTGCATCCATTTAGCTAGAAATGTCTCAAGTTTATCCTGTGTTATGACTGAGTAGAACTCCATTGTATAAAAAAAGCCACATCTTGAGCCATTCATCCTTTGATAGGCATTTGGGTTTGTCTCCAAGATTTAGCTATTACAAATTGTGCTGCTGTAAACATGGGTGTGCATGTGTCACTGTGGTATGATGCTTTTAATTCTTTCAGGAAGAGCCTAGGAAGGGGAATAGCTGGGTCCAGCGGGACCTCTAGTTTTAGCTTTGTGAGGAATCTGATTTCCACACCAGTTGCACCAGTCTGCACTGCTCCTAGCAGAAATCTTATGCAGATTGTGACGCCAGCTACAGGATTCCCTCGCATAGAGCTGTCCACGCCAGCAGTCAGCTCAGCTCCAGCTCACCCCCTTCCCAAGGAAAGGTTGGGCACTCAGAGATGGCCTTTAGAGATAATTCTTCCCACTTCTGAGTTAGCCCATGCCGTGGGGTTCGGTATGGTTTTTGTTGTGTTTCAGTTTGAGGTGCTCTACAATTTTTATTGCCTATAATTTGTGCTTTAGGACTCCTTCTTTGACAAGACTAGATCCCCTCGTTCATCATTGCTTTGGAGGGGAAGATTCTGTCTTTAGAAATTCACTTCCTAGCTGCACTGGCCTGGTGTGCTACTCAGGGTTTCTGAACCTCAGCACAGCTGGCTCTGGTCTGGTCTGGAGAGTGCTTTCCTGGGTGCTGTGGGATGTGTGTTTGCATCACCAGTTTGAACGTATGCAGTGGCAGCAGTGCCTGACAGTTGTGACAGTGAAAATACCTCAAGTTATTGCCAAACGTCCTTGGGGACCAAATTATTCCCCCTTGGTATATATATATATATATATATATATATATATATATATATATATGGTACATATATGTATATATAATTTCCAGCATCCATCTGAGCAGACAGATGGATTTTAAAATTATGGGAACACTCTATGTGCAAAACTTTCAATCTGATCTTCCATTTATTCAGTTTAAGGTAAATACTTCCTAAGTGGGATTTTTGTTGTAATTGTCAGATACTTGACCAAATTTGATAATTTCTGCCTCAGAATAAACGCTATGTTTTTGTTTTACTTCTCTGTTCTATACTAAGCCGAAGGATAAGTACTGCTCTTCAACTTACCTTGTACATCAATTTATGTTGAAATATTTTTTAGGGATATGCCTTCCTGGATTCTGTACCTGAGGAGGTGAAAAACCAAACTGAAGGGGTCGTGCAAGGTGAGACATCCTCTTAGGACACTTGGTATCTGTCGTCTTGGTTATTTTGTTAAGAATCCTGTGTTTGATTAGTGTGAAGAAATACATTGTTGCAAATTGTGTGATTCTGTTCTAAAAAATCCTTTCTTACTCCTGCATGAATATGAGATTTTCACTTAAGTCACTTCCAATCAATTACATAGATTTAAAAAAAAAAAAGAAGAAGAAAAAGTGCCCTTATTTAAGATGATTCATGGCACTGCGGCCAGCTGGTGATGCCACACCGCAATGGTGAGTCCCCAATGTGGGCTCCTACAGAATTTGGAAGGTCATATTCTGATTGTTTTTATCTGGAAAAAAAAAACTATACTCTGTTATATTTTCCAAATGAACTTAAATGGAATTTTTGAAAATTTATTTATTTACTTAATACTGTGTATGAGGTTCTGAGGATTTATTTTGTCCTTCTGGAAGGTGTTTTTTGTTTGCTCACTCTGCTGATGCAATGGTATTTTAGGTTCCTAAGGCTGCATAGAGTTCTAGAGACAGAATCTTTATTGAGAGGGTCTAAATTCTTAAATCATCCTGGGTTTGGTGGAGCATACCTGTGATTCCCAGCACTTGGGAGGCTGAAGCAGGAGGATTGCCGCGAAGTTCAGGGTCAGCCTGGGCTACATAGCTACTTTAAAACCAACGTGAAATCTAAAAGCCAAATAAATAAATAAATAAATAAATTCTTAAATGACTGAGTCGTGCTATCTTTAGGTTATGGTACTGGGGTGAATGTGAAGGCAGAATGGGCCAGATGGCTAGTTATACCATATTGGGCATAAACTTGGGGTATTCAGAAAAAGCCTCTCTCATTTATCTGCCCAGTAGTTCTTTTTCTGCTTCCAAAGTGCTTTTACAAGGTTGTGTTAATGGTATTTGATGTGCTCCCCCTTAATAATGCTCTATCATGCATTAAGAGCTTTGGTAGGGAGGTCTTCATCCAGTGTATTGTGTTGCAGATCTTTGTGGGTTCTGGGGTTTGACAGAGCCCTGGACCTCCTCTGCGTTTTGTCATGTGGTGTTGTGCAGACCCCTTGTAAGGGTGACACAGTCAAGTGAGTGCGCACAAGGTCACTGCCCACCCCTGTGCGTTCTCAGGGCCTGCAGGCCTTTGGGGCTAAGGCCTGCTTTGAAGGCCTATTCCGTGCCAGGCTTTGCGGGTGCTGGGGATGTGAGTGTGTGAGGCTCAAGTCCTGCCTGTCTTTTGGCCACCGTGCTTGCAGATGGCCTGCATATGGGAGGCATTCTAGAGGAAGCTGCGTCCAGACAGGAGGCCTGGCCACAAGAAGGAACAACCTCATGTGCCCAGGGAGGGCGAGGCAGGCAGGGGAGGGACATGGCCCTGGGCAGCCTGTGGGTCACAGCTGTCACCATCCCAGAGCGCAGGCCAGGCCCCCTGCCTCATCTGGGGGAGGATCCTCAGGGGTCCCTGCCCCTGAGCCATGCGAGGAGTCGGGGAGCCACCCCCCATGGGACTCAGCGGAACCGCATCCAGACCTCCGGCTCTGCGTTTATGTCTGCGTCTTTCTTGGGTTTTGAAATTTCATATCCATATGAACAACACACTTTCAAAAAGGTTCCCGTTGATCGTAGTGGTGAATACCTGTCATCGCAGCTCTTGAGAGGCCGAGGTAGAAGGATGCCCATGCGTTAAGGAGACCATCAGGGTCACAGAGTGAGTTCCAGGCCAGCCTGTCTGAACTATATAAAGAGCCTGTCTAACAACAACAGCAAAAAGTTCCAGCTGTGTTTATGTAATTCCATGTAAGACCAAGCTACCCTGTCTGGCATTTACCCCTTAAGTCCCCAAAGGCCTCAGATCGTATTAGTCTTCGCTGCTGTTGGGAGGTTCCTCTTCCTTTCAGGATCCTAGAGGGTCAGTGGACTCCTGAGGGGTGAGCCGCCCTCGGTATGTCCTTGGCAAGCAATGACACAGGGTTGTGCAGGCAGCCCTGGGGCAGGGGGTCATGTAAAACATGAGGCCCTGGGTTTCTCTACAGGAAAAGAAAACACCCCTGAAAGTCACCATGGGAAAGCCAGCCCCGGAAGCAGTGACTGCTGGCCCACGTGACTCTGTACCCAGGGAGCTGTGACCCGAGGACCTGCCTGTTGGGGTGGATGTTTGTCTCCACACTGCTCTCTTGGGACTTAACCTCCTTACTGAGAATGACTTGGACGTTGATAGGATCCATGTGGCCACTGCGAATTTCTCTTTGTGCACAGAAGACATAGATGCACTATTGTTTTGAGTCTCACTAAACTGCTCAGGCTGGCCTGGAACTCACAGTCCCTCCACCTCATCTTGCCAAATAGCTGGGGTTCCAGACATGCACCACCATCCCTAGCCAAACACACTTCTTTAAGAGTCAAATAAAATCTGGCCAAATGTATCATCTGGGGTCACTTATTCAAAATACGGCCCTGGAGAATAACTTTGTCCTTGAATACCATTTCTTAGCTGTGAAATTATGATTCCCAAATCATGTAACAGAGCTTCAGCATTAGAAACACTCCACTTTCGGTCTCATTACCAGAGCTTCCTGGAAAGGAGGCCTGTGAATGAGTAACCTCTATGAGCGTCCGGGTCTCTGTTAGTAAACTGAGAATTACAAGTACTGGATCTGCCTCTTGGGAGGGAAGCAGTTAAGATTCACCAATGTGCCTGGCACAGGGTAGGTACAACCGTACATGTTAATCACTTGGTCCATTTTTTGGTCTTTTTTTTTTTTTAAGACGGGTTATTGCTGTATAGTTCAGGCTGGCCTTGAACTTCTGCCTCAGCCCGCAGAGTGCTGGGGTTACAGGTGTGTGCTACAATGCCCAGCCCACCTGATCCATTGTTTTAGCAACTTAGTGGATGAAGACGACCCTGGCCTGACTTCGGCATCATCTTATGAAAAACACGTTCATGGCTTGCTATTGTTGCTTTTCGATGACCCTGGCTGGACTTGCTGTAGAGTCTTACGCTATTCTAAACACGTGCATAACATGTGAAAAGCCAAAAGTGGCTCCAGTGTTTGTGTTTGGTTCCAAGACACAGCTCCCTTTGCCTCCGTGTTTGAAAATACATAACCAGTTCCCTCTGTTTTCAGATATCAAAAATGTCCTGAATGGCATTAGTGTAGACATCAGGAGTGTGGCGGAATACCCTATCACGGCCACGCTGTCCAATTTCACGGGTTACATCAATGACACTGAGACTTACATCCGACGGAATTTGCCCAAGTTGGAGGAATATAACGCATACTGGTGAGTGCTTGGAGACTGAAACCCTGGAGACTGGCGTGGCTTCTCCATTATTTAAAAAGGTTCTTGAATGAAATATGCAACAATTTGCAGTTTCCGATTATCAGTTGCTTTCCGAATCTATTATGATTAGTAAGCTAGGTGTGGAATGGGATTTAAAGCTTAAATGTAATTCACAAAGGCCTTTGGAAAATACTCTGCACTGATGGGATTGTAACATAAATAGCTGAGATCAGTTCTTACTGAGAGCACACCATCTGCTCTGCTGTGCCCAGAAGCTAATAAGTCACTTGCAGAGCTGTGCTATAGGTCAGTGCTCAGAAAATTTGGGCAGTAGAGTTTAGCTTTGCAGGGTGACCATACCCAGAGGGAGCATGAGCAAGGGCAGGGCTTGAGGGCCTGAGAAATTTAGAGGAAGGACTTCCTGTCCAAAGGATTCAGCTTCCATCTCTGTCCTGCTCAAGCCTTTGGAGAGTCCAGAGCCATTCTTACTCAGGTTGTGTTTTGTGCCAAAGCACCAGATAAATGATAAAATAACAGTCTTTGTCCCTATCAGGTGCTTTCCATGTGACACCTCCTTTACACCCACGAAGGTCTCCCAGGTCATGTTCTACTTACCACTCTGTTTTGTAGATGAGGATATTGGGGGTCAGGGACATGAAGTGACTTGGTTAAAGTCAGCTGAGATGTGTCAGACGTGGGTTTTCACCCTTGCCTGACAGTGCTGCTACTGTCTGGGGATCGACAAGATTTTGGGGTTATGACCCATGTCTCAGACACCCCAACAGGTATCAGGGGACGCATGAGCCAGGCCAACCCCCTGACCTTGCAAACTCAGCAACAGTCTGAGCTTCTCAAATAAGAACAGTACAGATATCTGCCTGCTACTCACTCGCCCTTCCTCCTCCCCCTGCCTCAGGACCATAAGCTTATTTTAAAAAGAAATTTAAATAGGTTGATTAAAACTTTTCTGAGGCTAGGCTCCAAGACTTATTTAATTTTGCATCGCCAATACTTGGAACCAACCTCCATGGAATGGCTGCTGATGGCCATTATTATAATTACCCAGATTGCTCTTAATTGAATAAAAAGCTTTATGGTAATTTTGCCGAGAGGTACTGGGCAGAGCCAATTCTTTTGTTTTTCAGTATCTTAAATGTTGGGGAGCAGTTTCTACCCTTGAATGCTCCTCACTGCTGGGAAAGGTTGTTTATTCTGGGAATGTCGGTAAGACCTAATTGCACCTCCATTATCCTCAAATGTCTCCCAGGACCATTACAAAATTGAGATTTGCATTCTGCAGGCATTTGATTTAGGATGCTTATAAAATTCTAAATGTCCCATGCTGCTGGCACGTAGAGCATTTCTGGTTTAGTAGAGAGCACGATGACCCAGAACAGTCCTGCAGCCACAGAATATTTTAGAGAAAGGCTGGGGAAAGCAGACTGGAATATCTTCCCCCATCTTCCAGCATCAGAAAACTTGCAAGAGCTGGAGGGGTTTAAGGATATTTTATCAGTAGCACATTCAAAAAAAAAAAAAGAAAGCAAACATGTTGTGATCATTGAAGGAGCATGTTGCTGGTGGGTTGGTTGGAGGAACAGGGCAAGGATGGCTCCAGCGCTCAGGAATGCTCAGCGAACCCTGAAGATTCATAGATGGCCAGGAGTTCCCCCAACACCCACATGCACACACTCTCCAGCCTTAGTCGGCAACTCCCATGTCTGGTTGCCGTTGCTATGTTGTGCACTAACAGTATGCTTGCTTTCCCAGGTGGCTCGCAAGCTTGATCATCTGCTTCCTCCTGGCCCTCATCGTGGTCTTTTGCTTCCTGGGCTTGTTGTGTGGCATTTGCGGCTTTGACAAGCATGCTACCCCGACGAGCAGAGGCTGTGTGTCCAACACGGGAGGCATCTTCCTCATGGTGTGAGTGTGATACCTCTGCCACGTGGGTGGGAAGATGGGAGGGGGGACAGGCAGTGCGCCCAGACCCCATGCTCCAGTTCTGTGGAGTAGGGGTCTTGGCGCAGTGCTTTGCTCTTTGGCGTAGATACTTCTCCAAACAAGTAAAGGAAAACTGTTGATTGATTGCATAAGACAGACCAGTTTAGGTGCACTATTTACACTGGGTGGCTCCGTGGAAATTGGCTGCCATGGAAACCATTTCCAACTTGGCCTTTGTATCTATTGTTCCTTCCTCCTCTTTTTAAAAAAATTTTTATTAGTAAAACTTTGCAGTACATAGTGATTATGTTCATCATGGGAAGTTGGTTACATATATAACCTTTCAATTCTTTTTATATCCTCTTACCCTCTCCTCCCTCCCCTTTCCCTCCAGCGCTTGGTTCCCTTCCCATTTGCAGGAGATCTGTCTCCCTGTTTCTTATTATTTGTCTTTTATTTTGCACTTTTAATTATTTATACTTTGGGTTTCTCCTGTAAGAGAAACCATGTGATATTTAAGCTTGTGTTTTCTCAGCGTGCGTCCATTTTGGTACAAATGATGTCAGTTTAGCCTTCTTCATGGCAGAGTAATGTTCCATTTTCTTTTCTCATTCATCTGCGGAGGGAGCATTGTTCTTTCTTTATCTTGTTAATTCACTCATCTGTTTGTTAGAGGCATCAGAAGCTGAGCCAAGACACCATTCTCCATAGTCAGCAGAGCTGCCAGCTGCAAGCTCTAGCAGCTTGGAGTTACAGTATTCTCTCTACTAGTGCCGTTAGGACTTAGACAAGCAGCCTGGATTCCATGCATGGGTGCCAGATGCCAGAGCTGGCCATGCAAGGGATGGAGCCACAGCATCAACATGGGGCTCTTTTTGGATAGATAAATGCATTAGGAATCAGCTGTGAGGTGTGTGATGGGGCTGAAAGAGTCAACATAGCTCCTTCAGGGAATAGAGAACCAGAGCATCGGCCGCACGTTCTCATTCACCTACGAGCATCACCAGCATCGGGGAAGGGCGGGCGGGAGACCACGTGGCATGCACTAATATGTCTTTTGGACACAGGGTCACAAGTGAGTAATTGAACCATGCATGAGTGTAAAGTCCTTTCCCCGAAACAGGTAGGCCTCAGCGCAGAACAAGCCTTTGCTGTCATTCATGCAGGCTTAGAATAGCCTCAAATAGCTTCAGAATAGCCTCAAAACCAATGACGTGGGGTCTCTTAAGGCCTGAAATGGAATTCCACACATGAGAGGCTAGATACAGAAAATGGCACTCAATTGGGAGTATCTCTGCTCAGGAAAGAATAAACGAGAAGAAATGACACTAGTAAGGGAAAATGTGTTTGCTTTGCTGTTTTGTTCAACTTTACTCAGATACAGGAAGTTAGTTTATTCTGAACAACTAAGTAACCCTGGTATTTGCTGCTTTACCTGCGTTTTGGTGGTGACTGTGTAATTCTCTCTTTATCACTGCTTCCAAAGGGCCTTGTTCATAAAAATCACACTGGTTTTTAGTGGGATCACAAAAACTGCTATCTGCTTCAAAGGAAAAGAAACAGGGACGCCGTCCTCTCTGAGCCACAGCTCCTTGGGTCTGGGTGGAACATGGCTCCCGCTTCCTCCACTGTTGCTCCACTCTGGCCAAGTCAGCGGTGACCCCTGACCCCAGAGTAGAGGGGCAGCAGTGTCCACAGCGGCGTGCTGCCCCCTCCGCCCATGCACCCTCCTGCACACTGTCCTTCTCCCCTCAGCGATGTCACACGCAGATGGCTTCCCCCGGTCTCCCTCACTGGCTGCCACCTGTTCCACAAAGGTCGAAGTCCTCCGGGTGGGTCCTAGGCTGCTTCCCTCTGCCACCCAGCCCCAGGGACAGATGCTCATTTCCCACTCCTGCTGTCTCCATCCAGGTGTCTGCGCTCCAGACTCCATCCCTGCGTCTTCCCAGAAGTGTCTCCCTGGCAACCCGACCAATGCCCGATCCAGCTTTTCTTTCCATTCAGGTCCGGAGATCAGCATTCCCATCCTGACCCTTGGGCCTTCCTGCCTTCACTTCTCATCCTGCTGCATCTGCCTGCCAGCCTGTGTGTCTTTCACCCACTGATTTCTCTCCACCACCAGGAGATTCATCAAAGGCCACAGTCACGGTGCCATCCACAATGACTCCTAGGCAGGGGGACACCTATGCAACCTGTCCCTCATGCTTCCCCTTCTGTGCCTTTCCATGGCTTCTCCTCCTGGGATCCCCTTGGCCCTGCCCTGTTCACCTCTCCCTGCCTCCAAAGATACCTCATGCAATTCTCCACCATGCGAATGGGGGCCATGACAGCCTCCTTCTGAGTCTCCAGGGTACGTTGGCAGGCTGGAATCTCTCTACTTTCTGTCACTTCTGCAGAAGGGATTGGTTCTTAGCTCATTGTGCTAGACAGCAAGTGGAGCGGGCATTGTCATCCTAAGGGTCCATAATTATGAGCCAAGGACGGAAAGTGCTACCCACTTCCTCTGCGCTCCTAGGCAGGTGGACCCGCAGGCCGTATTTCACACCAGGAGCAGATGGAGTGAATAGGCCCTGGGCAGCAGCACTGAGTACTTCCTCCAGAACCACTAACTTTATCTGTATTTTTTCCAGTGCGGCTGGATTATCTTTCCTCTTCTGCTGGCTATTGATGATCATCGTTGTTCTTACTTTTGTCATTGGTGTAAATATGGAAAAATTGGTCTGTGAACCTTATACAAATGGGAAGTTATTCCAAGTAAGTGTGATTTTCTGTTCACTGTGGCAGGACTTAAAGGAACACTTGAATTTCCCCCATAATTTGTGTTCTTCGAGAGCAGATTAAAACATGAGTTGTTTTTTGTTTTTACTTTTTAATTTTAGACTCTGTCTTGCAAAGTTGCCTGTGCTGGGCAGCCTCAAACTTACGGTCATCCTGCCTCAGCTTCCTATAGTGCTAGGATTTCAGACATGTGTGGCCAAACTCAGCCAGTCTGATTTGAATTCATCAAGTTGAGATTCTGTTTGTAAGAGAAAAAGTTTTATATTATACATAAATATATATATGCACAAACATGCACACATATACACACACATACTTATGTAGATACACACAAATCACATATGTATATAATAATACTCATATGCTTATACATATGTGTATAATAGTATTCTTATTTTCTGATTGTATGTGAAATCAGTGCCAAGAATTAAAGCCTGCTTGTCCATGTTGATTTTAATATTATTGGAAAATAAAGCTCATGCCTCACACCTGTAATCCCAGCTACTCAGAAGGCTGAAGCAGGAGGACTGCAGGATAGAGCCCAGCCTAGAGTACTTAGTAAGAGTTGCATCAAAGTCAGATTTTAAAAGTGGCTGGTGATACAGCTCAGTGGTAGAGCACCAGTGGCTTCTATGCAGGTACAGGTAAAATAATTCTCAGTAGAAGCTCCCCCAGGTGTCTGAGAAGATGAGAAGGTAAATTCTCAGTTTTTTCCATTGTTCTTCAGAGGTTTCTGACATTTTAAAGAGTTGCTCAAACCCAAAGCCTACCACCCAGAGAACTTGGGGCTGTGCATTTGAAGTGAAAAGAGCCAATAAAGGACACCTTGGTGGCAGAGGATTGTCCCTGGGGATGTCCGCTGGGACAGTCAGGAGCTGAATTCAGGCTTCAAGGTCCCTCCGAGGTCAGCTGCTGCAGCCTGCAGGGCTCTGTCAGGATTTTACCTTCCTCACTGACAAGGAGGTTATGATTCAAGTCTCTGGCTTCTGACTTGGGTATCCAGCGTTGTTCTCCAGATTCTGAGTTTTAAAATCTGCTTCTTTTTCCCCCTTGTATTGTGTGTATGTTTTTCACCTCAAGTCTGTAATGAAGTCACCAGACTGTAGAAGGTAAACAATTGTCATAGTGATGTTGTTTTGATTGTTCATTTGGTCAAGGGGAATGAAAGTGTTGGTGAATCATATTATCTTTCCTTGGCCTTTTAATAACACTAATAAGACATCGAACCAGGCTCACTATTTACTCTATTACTGGGTCATTAAAAAAGTGATTCTTTAAAAGCAAGGGATATTTCAAAACCATTTATTCGGATTGATTATCCCTAATCCAAACAAATTTGAAATCCAGAATTTTCCAACTCTGGAAGTTTCTAACCACTGACATGACATCACAAATGGGAAAACTCCACAGCTTGACACTTTATTTCATGTATAAAATATTTTAAAAGATAGTATAAAATTACCCTCGGGATGTGTCTAAGGAATATATAAAACATAGATGCATTTCATTTTTAGACTTGGGTCCTGTCCCCTTTATATAAACATTTTGAAGCTAGAAAAAAGTTCTGAAACCCTTCTGGTTGCAAGCATTTCAGAAAGGAGATATTCAGCTGGTACTTACCGGGTACATGCCCAGTCATGGGTTAGTTTGTCCACCTTAAATATATGTGGTACAGAGTCAGAGTGTGTGAGTTTTATCTCATTTTGTCCTGAGAGAAGTGAAGGGTTAGGTCTGCAGCTCCGTGATTTTGAATTAACTATTCTGAAGCAAAATTCCTAATTTCTACTGTGTTTACTGAAATAAAGTTGAATTCTCAAAAAAAAAAAAAAAGAGTTCAGTAACTTCGGTGCTTCCCAGTAGTCAATTGATTGATTTCGGTTACACTATTATTTTCTGGTTTTGGTTGGAAGTTGATGAGATGTATTATGACATAAAAAGTATCAAACTGTTTAATAGAATATTCATTTTACTGTATGTATGCATGTTAATGTAAATCTGTTTTTTAAAAAATGTTATTTCATTTGTTTTAGGTTTTGGACACCCCCTACTTACTAAATAAGGAATGGGAATATTATCTCTCTGGCATTGTACTTAAAAACCCAAATGTTAAACTCACTTTTGAACAAGTTTACAGGTATCAATAACTGCATTACATATTTTGCTATGCAAAATGTCTTTTCTCCAGAATTACAAAATTGCTTTCAAAGTGTTTCTTTTAACCTTGCTCATAAAACTTGCCAGTTTCAGAGGTATGCTGTTTTCTAATCTTAGCAAAGAGAATAAAAATGAGACTGAAAAGATACCTTGAGCCAAAAACTTTTGAAACCTGGGACCAGTGATGTCTCAGGGTTCTCCTTCCAAGGTATCCTGGAATGCTTTGGATAAGGTGACCCTAAGGGGCATTAACAGGACCTTGTGAGAATTCAGTGAACAGCCCAAATCCAAGTTGGCATAACAGTGATATAATTATAGGGCTGGTCCAAGCAATCCGGCCACCCGTGTCCTTCTGCTTAAGAGAGCCCCGTGACATTGGACAACTCCACTTTCTCTCCACTCAACAGTGTTTGCTATTATAAGACTCTCATCTGGGGGACATTTTAGAGTCCAGCAAGGTACCTCAGATTGGAACAGTGCCCGACACATCATCAGAACATTATAATACTATCCTCACTTCTAATTGTTCATCAGCATTTATTTCCCTATCTGTGACACATGAGGATGTGGAGAAACTCCCTAACTTAATGCTAGTATCTGTGGAATGCTCTGTGGTACACACATTCCTCTCGACCTCTTAAAGCCGTCTCGAATCTTCAAGGTCCTGTGGGCTGCAGCCGAGATGCACCGCAGACTGCTCTGTGTAATGAATCCTTCCCTTTTTTCAGCCTTCCCATCACTTGCCTCTTTGCACCTCCAAAGAATGGGAGAGACCCTCTCCTTAGTGGTGTGGTCACTGCCAGATGAGGTGACCAAGTGCGTGTTCAGGTAGCCAGCGTCCTTTCCCTGGAAACTCTTTCTGCTAGAGTAGGTCAGCTGCAGTCCTTATCTTGCTGGTGAGCTGTCTTTCCACTGCTTTGGTCACTTTCTCACGCTGAATCTCTTCAGCCCATTAGTAAGCGTGTTTTGAGGTTCAGCAGCTATATAACCACATCTTCATGTGGAAGAGCCAGAAGACCTCAGGGTTGGAGAGTTTTCTTTTGAGCCCCCCAAGTAGTTGTAGGTCATCCACCGGGACAGGGAAGGAGCTTGTCCTTAGCCCTGGGTTCTGAGGAGTCAAGGATTCACCAAGCTTTTCTTCAAGGAATTGCTTGGGTTTTTTCTTGCCTCTTAGTTTAGCTTGTGAAACAGTCCCCCCAATGCTGTATAGTATTCTTTCCCTCCCCAGTCTAGTGTTACTTCACAGAGTACACTTTTGTAGATGGTAAAAAGTCCCTCCTGGTCTAATGGTTGATAGTCTTCTGTGTTTGATCTCAGCCATACAGAAAGAAGTCATTTAAAGATTCATCAGCTTTGTGTCACGTGACAAACTACCTGAGAGTAACTTAAAGGAGGCAAAATTTATTTTGGCTCACAGTTTCAGAGGTCTCGGTCCATGGTCACCTAACTCCATTGATTTTATGCCGGTGGTGAGGCAGGACATCATGAAAGAGCATGCTGGAGGAATGCTGCTCACCTCATAGTGGCCAGGAAGCAGAGGGAACAGGAAAACCAAGGAAGGTGGGGTCTGGGACAAGATATACTCTTCAAAGGCATGGTCCTGACGACCTCTTCTGTCAATTAGACCCTGCCTGCTAGTAGCTCATTCAGTTGTGATCTCATTAATGGATGAGTCCACTGGTAAGACTAGCATTTCCATGATCTAGTTATAGACAAAATAGACTGTGTCTGGATGTCTGCACACCCTCACCTGTCATAGCCTCACCTTTAGATATCTAAGCATGTGAAGTCAAAACATTGGAAATACAGAGGGAAAAATGTCATGGCAAGGGCTTTAATAAAACCCGTGACAAACTTTGTAGGGCATCTCTTTCTAGCAAATATCATTTTGACTTTTTAAAACAGAGTTTATTTCTTCTCTATTTATCAACTTGTCCACAGCAGAATAAGAAATAACACAAAGGAAACAGACAGAATGATGTATTTATCAGACCCATTGCGTCTGTTCCAAAACTAAGACAGGGAAGGGAGTCGGGAGTGGTGAGTGCTGTGGTTTTTTTCGGCTAAAGGTGGCACTTTGAACCCACTTGTGCATCCACAGATGGCACAGTGAGAAAGACTCACCCTTCATCCTTAACCGTGAGCACAGGTGGCCACATTGCTTTTCTGGGTCATGATTTCTGTTTCTTCCCACAGTGATTGCAAAAATGATAAAGGCATTTACACCACACTGAAGCTAGAGAACTACTTCAATGTCAGTGAGGAGCTCAACATTCAGAAGGTGAGGTAGCAGGACAGCCAAGTACTTGACATTGTTGCACTAAGTGCCTTTTTGTTGAAATGGGTGTGAGATTCTTTAAGATAAAATAAACAAGCTTAAAGTGGCATTTAGTATATCCACAAGGTTGTGTAGTCCTCCTCTTGGTCAAATTCTGTAACACTAACCCCTTGTCTATTTTGTGGTTTCAGTTTTCCTAGTAGATCTTCAGAGGGACCTCACTTAAAACTCTTCCCAGTGGAAGATTTCGTTTCACTGAGTGTTGATGACCCTGTAAGAAAAAGTCCTGCCTGCTCCTCAGGGAGGTTGGTTCTCCAACCAGCTTCTCTTGTCTACCAGCTCCCAGACCAGAAAGTATGACCCATACTACCCTCACTCGTGTGTGGCACTTGGCCGTAAGATGGGCTCTGCTGAGCTCTGCTGGCCCTTGGCAAGAAGCAAAAAGATTGAAGCAGACAGTAACCTTCTTGCCTGTTTTGCTGCAGTCCACAAGCCAGACTGAGTCTTTAGGCTCTTAAAAAGAGCCAAAACACACCAGGCAGAAGGAAACAACAGAATCCCTGCTACATGGGTCTAGGGCATCATTAGCCTAGAAGGATCTAGAGTGCTCTTCTTCTTTGGGACTTCCAGAATGACAGTAGATCCCAAGAGGTACCGAAGAACGAGATGCCCTCCAAGTCCTATAGTTTGCCCACTGAGGTATCACAGGAGTGACCATAAGACCATGATGATTTGATGGTTCTCAAATATAAAAATGTGCTTTATTTGAAAGGTGCATGTAAATTTTCCATTGATTATCTTCCCTAAGCCCTTCTTACATGTCCATAAGCAGAATACAGTTGTGTAATAAATCCTAACTAGAAGCTCTCTCCTTTGCCCATCACACCGTGAGCCACTTCCCCTGTGCCATGCAGGGTTCTGGTCCGGAGAATCTCACCTGGCTCACGCTGTCTGAAACCACAGACAGGTTATTAGGCCCACCCCAGAATAACAGCCACATCGCCTTGACCTTTGCCCAAGTAACCAAACCCTGTTTCCCAGAGGGTATCTCCTATGTGGGAGATACCTACCCAGCCCCAGCCTTGGGCTGGTCCTGTCCCTGGAATGCCACCCTGCCCTGTCCCTTTCAGCATCTCTGTGTGTCAAGCCTTGGAATTCACAAGCTACCTCCTCTGTGGCTCCAGTCTATGAGTCCTTCTGAGGTCCTTTCTCCTAGGTGGCCCAGTGGAGTTCATATCCCATTCTTATGATACTCGCTTGTTCCTTTTGGGTTCTTTGAGAGAAAAGATACAAAGAAGAGTGTTTGCCGTGGGTGTAAGGAGGCAGGGAAGGAAGAATACCCATCAAATGCCTGCATGCATTTATGCCTGCTTAATTTTATTGCTGTCTTCAAGCCTTAAGTTGGTGACATTCTTTGAGAATAATGCATTGGTTTAAAACTTGTTTCATGCAGCATACTGGAAACATAATCAATGAACTTGAAAATCTGAATTTAAATCTTGATAATGTTGTTCTGCTGGATGCAGAAAGAAGAAAAAACCTTCAGGCCTTCGCAACTTCTGGAATACAGGATATAGACTACAACACCTACCTGGCCCAGGTACAGCACATGTCCACATGTGTGATCGGGGCGGGATCACAGTACCAGATGTGCATAATTCTAAGATTTGTATCTTCAATGACACAAGATTCACATCACATACAATCTATTATTTTTAAACAATTTAGTAGCATTTAGTATAATCATGGTGTTATACAATTACCACCTCTGGTTCCAAAATGTTTTCATTACCCTAAAGAAAATGCTGTATCATTACCAGCTGCTCCCCACTCCCCCAGATTTTTGGCTCCTACCATTCTGTGTTGTATTTCTATGGATTTACCTATTCTGGATCTATCATGTAAATAGAATACACCGTGTAAGACCTTTTGTGTCTAGCTTCTGCCACTTAGTATGCTGTTGAGGTTCTTACGTGTTATACACGGGCCTCATTCTTTTTTATGGTTGAATATAAAAATGATACATATAAAGTAGAATGAAGATTATTAGAGAAGAGGAAAGGAATGAGGAGGGGGACGGGAGGGCAATAAAGGGTAATGGGGGATAGTAACAGTAAAGTATGTTATGTGCATGGAAATTTCACAATGAAACCCAGTAGTCTACATAACCAGTATGTACTAATAAAAATGTATTTTGGGAAAATGATATGTATAGGTAAGAATGTTGTCACTTATAGCTTTGAGCCGGGTGTGGTAGTACACGCCTATACTCCTAGCATTTGGGAAGTTGAGGCAGAATTGTGAGTTCAAGACCAGCGTGGGCTACAAAGTGAGCTCAAGACCAGCCTGAACTGCATAGTGAGACCCTGTCTCAAAAAGACAAAATAAATAAATGAATAAATAAATAGTTTCTAGCCTTATTTTATTTTTTTATGGTTGTGGACCCATGGTCAATCTGTTGCCTAATAGATGTTAAGGTTTAAAAATTTCATATCTGTAACATAATTTTTGTTTACCTCTTTTGCAGACTGATAAAACCCCTGTAAAAGTGAATCTTTTATTATTTGCACGTGACCTAGAAGCAAAAGTAAATCATTTGGTAAGTTCAAATAATCCCATTAAATGCTGTAGGAGTTGTAGAAGTCACATGAGGGAAGGGTGAGGGATGTGACTAGAGTTTGATTTTTGCATGAGTTTAGACTGATTGAACAAAGCCTGTCCCGTGCAGTTCTCACGGGCAGCCCTGGCCATGCAGCTTTAATACACACGCAGGAATGCACGCATGCGCACTCATTTTTCTTGCAGTTTAGGGAATAGCGATTGGAAGTGTGGAAGGAAAACTCCACGCAGTACTTTGCATTGTTGGTAGTAAGTGGATAATGATGGGCAGAGGCACCATTAGACCCTGTGGTCTTCCACTTTATCACCTCATCTGCTGAGCGTTGACTACATGACCTTCACTGTTCTCTTCCAAGAAGTGGCAGACTAGAAATGAGGACCCTAGACTCTGGAGGAAGACTTGGGCATAGACAGCCTCTTCCTCATACTAAGAGACTGAGCAAGATATTTTGCCACTTTGTGTCATTGTTTCCCCATCTGTAAAATGGGGGTACTAGTACCATTCCTGTGGGATTGTTGTCATTGAAGTAAACCCACAGCAGCGTGTGCTTCCGAGTGTGGAGAGACGGAGTTCAGTTTCCTTTATTTTCTTCTCCTTATAGCCCCCAGGAAATATGAAAGATACCCTCCAAGCCCAAGTAGAGAATATTCGAAGGACTCACCATCAGCAAGTCCTTCCTATGGAACAGTCACTGGTAAGTCACCAAGCTGTGACGTATCCCGGGGGCCTGGGCCAGACTGCTTGTGCCTGGCTGCCTTCCATGTAGCCTTAGGACACCTGCTGACCTCCCAGAGCTCCCTGTGTCTGCTTTGAAGACCATAAAGCCAAAATTGTGCCACCCCTCCTCATCCGTCCTCTCCCTTCTCCTCAGGAGTGAGCAGTGTATTGCCGTGGGTGTCTGGCTTCTGTCCCTTAGCTCAGATTTCTGCAGCTGCTCACAGGTCTCCTTAACCACGCATGTAGGACAGTGCCGATGGCTTTGCTATGTCTCAGTCTCACTATTGTCCAATTCTTTTTCTCCAAACTCTGCCTAGAAATATGTGAAGGTAAGGGTAAGTGCTTTCCTTCTGCACCTAGCATCCACGTAGCTCTCTGAGGCCACTAATTTCCTTCTCTTTCCCATCCTGGCCTCCCTGGTCTTCTCTCTTCCTGAAGACAGTAAAGACAGTTTTCAGGCCAGAAAGAACAAGAGTGGAGGAGAGTGAGGCTGAGCTCATTTCACATCCTGTTTCTGCCTTTGCAAAGTTTTATAGCTTCTCAGTTTCCTCATCTAAAAATAAAATTTTTAAAATTAAAAATAAAAATGGCAGGAAGGATTCCTACGGTGAAGGACTACTGATTTCAGAGAGACTCAGAAATGGGAGGAGTTACTATGTTTCTATGAGGGACCAGGAGAGACTCAGAAATGGGAGGAGTTACTATGTTTCTATGAGGGACCAGGGGAGAATAGTGGGGGCGAGGATTACGCCCCCAGGTCAGTTGCTCAGGTTCGCTAAGTCTGTTGAGTCCAAAACCCATTCTTTGGGTCTAGCTGTAATTGTCTCTTTAGTTCCTGCTGATTTCATAATTCACTAAGGAAGTCACAAAGTCCTCCCGATGAATTATCTTAACATGTATGCTGGACTCCTCACAATTCTCTGCTATCCTTGATGACTCCCAGTACAAAACAAAGTTGTTAACACTTTAAGTTGGTTTGGCATTTTCTTTAAATGCTTTTCTTCAAGTGGACAGGGTTTCTTGGCCTCTTCAGAGCTAGGGCAACCTTTGCATTAAAAGGCAAGTTGTTTTGCCAACTATGGCCTTCATGGTCTGGGGGCCAAATATAGTCTGCTGCCAGGTCTGGTAGTTTTACTGGAACATGATCATGCTCACTTACTTAACAGCTGTCTGTGGCTGTTCTTGTTTGTAAAGGCAAAGCAGAGTAGTTGGGACTGACAACAGCCCCCAAAGCCCAAAGTAGTAACTGAATGGCTCAGTATAGATAAAAATGGTCACCCTGACCGAAAGCACTCTGCTGAGCCATACCTGTTTTTAGAAATGCTTTAGTACCTTCCACTTTGATCTAACCTGCATCAAGGGGTTTTCTTCGATCCCTTGCATGTGCTGTGCTGCCCCACAAGTATGTATCGTGTGCCTTCAAGTATGTATCCTGATTTTTTTACTGGTGTGAGTGTAATAGTTTTTCTAGAAGGAAACCCTTCTTGTGTAGAGTCAACTTTGCTGGCTGTATTGGGGGAGGAGGACATAACCCATGCTCATGCTGCTTCATATAATAATTGGAAAATGTCATATTTGTTCCTCAGAGCAATTTAAAGAAAAATGTCAGGATACTTCAAAGCACAAGCAGTGGACTGAAGGTCAGCATTTATTTTCTTTTCTGCCATGGGTTTTGTTATCAAGTACCACGCACAGAATTTCAAAGATGTTGAGTTTTTAATATAGACATTTATCTACTCACTTTAAATGAGTTTTCCTACCATATTCTTTCTGCAGATGCTTCTTAGGTTGTTAGATACATAGGTGGAAAGTGTGTTTTGACGTGGAGGATGCAGGTATGGAAGGCACATTGGTCCCTTTTATAGAGATAATGTTGCATGATAAACTGTCAATCCCAGCACCTTCCAACCACAAGAACCTACCTTCACTCCTGTGCTGCCTGCTGGCTCTCTACACAGCTTCCCCTCTACCCTCTACACAGTTCTCCTCAGGAGCAACTGCTGGCCGGGCCTCCTGTGTTCTTAGTGGAAGAGGTGCGTTCAGGGATAAATGGAAACGCTGGCCGGTCGTCTTGTAAGCATTGTTCAGAACTGGCAGCACCACCCCTGAGCCTACTCCATGGGCTAAAGCATATGACACAGCCACGTCTGTGGTCATCATCATCAGGCTAGGGCGGTACAGGTCCTGTCAAAGACCTCACTCAGTATCTGGCTCCAAGCAAGTGCTTGTGCTGGGCCCTGTGCTTTCCCTGCCCTCCAGGGGCTGGGCCAGCTCATGAGTGTGGGACTCAGCCGCCACTATCGTGGGCTGTCTGTAGCTATGGGTTCTCCATCTGCAGGTTCAACGAACCGCAGAGTCAAAATATTTTGGAGGAAAAAAATGTTCTGCACTCAACACATACAGACTTTTTCTCATCATTGTACCCTGAACAACACAGTATGACAATTGATCATATGACACAGCATTAGGTATTATATTGTATTTGTATTTATACACAGTGGAGTACTATTCCGCTATAAAGAGGAATAAATCTAAGTTATTTGTAGGAAAATGGATGCACGTTGAGACCATAATGTTAAGTGAAATAAATCACACATAAGCTTAAATATCACGTTTTCTTTTATATGAGAAGTATAAATAATTAAGTACAAATGATAAGCGATATAAATATTAAAGAGAAAAGTAAGACAGATAATAGTACACAGGGAGATAAATCTTTTGAGATGCAAAGGGAATTGATTAAGAGATGGAGAGAGTGAGGAAGAAGAGGAAGAGGGGATAAAAATGAATTAATGTGCTAGGGCTGGGAAGGTGATTGTGAGTTTGAGGCCAGCCTGGGCTACAAAGTGAGTTCAAGGCCAGCCTGTACTGCATAGTGAACTGTCCCAAAAAGACAAAAAAAAAACCCAAACCAGTATGTGTTAGGTACACGTACCAACTCCCCATTATGAATGTAACTGTTATGCACTTGAAGACATGTACTAATAAAAATTAAAAAGAAAAAGTAATTGGGATGACATGAAGTATAGAGGAAGGTATGATGTGTGTAGGTTATTTGCAAACACTGTGCCATTTTATATGTGGGACGTGAACACCTGTGGCCTTTGGCATCCGAGGGAGGTGCCTGGAATTAATCTCCAGGGACCGCTGTACTGAAATTGAGTTGCAAATCATTTAATTAATCCCTGTGTCACATGATCTGCCTCCGATTGTTGTGTTTTCCAGGAGAAAATGGACAAGATCCTCATCTCTCTGGATGCTGCTCAGAGCTTTGTCTCAAACAACATCTCCTCTATTATTGTTGAAGTGAGTTTTTTTAAAAAATATAAGCCTAGCAGTAGGCAAGCATGTGTCCACCCCATGGCTAAATGTCCAGCATATTTAAGCATGCGGTTATCATTTTAGTGATTTTACTGGTCTTTGATTTCTTTCCAGGAAACTAAAAAGTATGGGAAGATAATACTGGGACACTTTGAGCGATATCTCCAGTGGGTCAAGGATGCTGTAAGTAGTAAATTGCTTTATGCATATAAAAGGGGCCACATCTGAGAGGAGTCATTTTCTAGGGTAAAATCTGGAGAAAATAAAATCAAATTCCTGGTAATTTGCTTGGAAGGGAAAGGAGTTATCATGGAGATCAAGCCCTCCAGGCCAAGCCACCATGTAAGGAACAAGCCCCCTTTCAGATCCCTTTCCTTCACTCACTGTTATCACACGGGTTCTTCGATTTTCTTCTTGCTTCCTTTGTCAGATAACAAAGGGGTCAAATAAAAAACCTGGACTAAAGCCTCGTGCTAGACCTGCATGCCGCTCAGTCCCCTTCACTGTCCTATTGGATGGGTTTTCATGTTGGAAGCAACAAATGAATGCAGGTGGAAAGAGACTCAGAGAACGTGGGTCTGGCTTAGAGCTGTAACTGAACACTGCGAGCCTCCTCTGTACAGACTGGACGTCAGCTCAGTGTCTTTGAAATGGCGGTCCTCTTGGGAAAGCAGGCCAACAGGAAGTGATGTGCGTAGTTTTCATGGAGTTTTCTGAGTGTGCCTTCGTTTCTTGTCCCATAGATTACTGAGAAAATGTTATCCTGCAAGCCCGTGGCTACCGCCCTGGATTCTGCTGTTGATGTCGTTCTGTGTGGCTACGTTGTCCACCCTCTGGTAAGACTTCATCTTTCCAAAGGAGGCGTAATAAATCCACCACCCTTGATCCCCTTGTAATGTATACTCTAATACTAGTTTTCTGCTTGGATTTGATATAGTTCTAGAAGCTAAACCCTAAAATCTAGATCAGTGATTTGGTATTGATACCTAGTAGGCTAGACAAATGAAAGACCTGGTTGTGTCTCTTCATTCTCTCCTAAGTCACATGACAGAAATCAGAACAAAATTCCTGTTTGTCAGGAGGCATCATCAGAAAGGAAGTCATTGGGAAGCTGATGGCTTTTATTCCAGGACTGCAAGTGGAACTGGCTGCACAGCCCCAGAGCTACGGCGAAACTTACTCTATTTCGAAGCTCTCTAATATGTGACTGCTGCGACAGTAAATTTCAGTTAATCAGGTTTCTTCCTCCACTCCATTCACCACCCAGCGTTCACTGACTCTCCCGGAGCTGACTCCTCACTGGCTCGGCTGAGTGCCTTAGTGGCTTCCCTCCGCATCGGGATAAAGGTGGTCCCCTTCCTAGGTCACCCCAGCTCTGCCTGTCCATTACGCTGTTGCCCACCCCCTTCTCCGTGGGCTCCCACATCCTTGTCTTCCTTCATTTCTCCCCGTGCATCTCACTGTCCTCATGCCAGGCCTTTGCACGGGCTCCCTGTCCTTTTCTGTCTCTCACCACCCCCTCCAGCCTGTCCCCTCCAGCTGACGTCCCCAGATTTTGTAACACATTCTAAATTCAAGCGCTGCTTCTCCATTCGCTGAACTCTTGACTTTGAAAAACAACTGAAATTTCCTGAGCTTCCTCTCCTGAATGGGGTGCTTTGAGCGTTCAGTGAAATCATGTGAATGCCATCAGCACCCTCCTTGATGGCTTCATTCTTGTTCAGTTTTTAGGTCTCAGTCCAAACCAGCCTTTTTTCCAGAGAGGGTGTTCTGATGCAGCATATTGCAAAGCTTCCTTTTCCACATTCCCACAGAATACTGTGTTTTTCCAGTAGTGATGTTGTTGCTGTTGAATTGCATATGTTTGTGATTCTCTGAGATCTGTTCCCTGCAGCACATGCTAGATGGAACCCCATGAGTACAGGGCACGTGGCTGTGGCGTCTCTCATGGGGCAGCCTCTCCAGCAGTGAGCATCACTGTGGAGTGAATGGATGACCACACAGGCATCTTGTGCATTATATTATGCCCTCTGGCCCTGGCCCTGCCTCACTCCATGTCCATCTGTCTGCTGGGTGGGCTTTTGTGCCCAATGGAAATGATCCCTCCAGTCTCCGAACTGTGCATGTCCTGGGCCCTGGCTTCCTAGTTGCTTTCTCCTCTGGCAATTTCTTCCCCATTTTGTCTTGTGCTTGGCAGCTCTTGCTGTGGTTTGAAGCTATCATTAGCAGACTCGAGTTTACTTGCTTGATTCTGAACTGACCTCTCCCCGTGTCCACCCTCCATCCCCAATCAATCGAGTCACCCAACCTCCAGATGTCTTGTGGCAAAGAGGGGCAGCCTGGAGACTGCTGGGGGGTGATAACTGGGGCTTTGTAGACGGTGACTGAAAGAATAAGGAAGTGCTCTGGGCATTCACTTTACCAACAAAATAGATCACAGGCCAACTAACATGCTTCTTGTATATCTTGATTGATATTCAGAGAATTGAGGCAGCATCTAGAAAAAGGATAAGGCTATAAAACTCTAAAATACCTCTAAGCAAGTTTAGAGACATTAACAGATCTTCCAGTCAGCGAACAGGGAAGCAACGGAAAAGCACATTTATGGGAAATTAGAGATCAGAGGTGGACCACCAAGACTTAGCCAGGAGCCAAGCAGATATCAGGGTCGAGCCTGGAGAGATCAGGTGGCCACTGCTATGTCCCCGCTGTATTCTGCAGCATGGTGGCTGGCAGAGTGGCTTTGGGTGTTGCTCAGACATGAACTTCTGTAGGTACCTGGGGGTTACAGCTGAGCAGGATGCTGGTCAGATGTGATGTGCAGCCTCCATAGTACCTACAGGGTCATACTACATGCATAGCCGCTCTGATTGGCTGAGAAGGTTAAGGAATTTGAATATATTTGAATATCATCCTGCACATGTTAGTGATGTAAACTATGCCAGATCCCCCTTGAAGGAAGAACCACTACTTAGCTACACTTGCACAGCTGTTGCTCCTTGGAAGCAAGGACTGAGTATCATGAAATAAAACCTCAGATTTTTCAACATAACTAGTAAATCCAGGTTTATGTGTGAGATCTGAGTCACAAATATCAGCAACTATTTTAAAAAGAATACTTCAAACATTACTTTTTAGACAAAGAATGATTGAATTCAACCACGGGCAATCTTCAGAATAAGTTAAATTAAATATGGAGCATTTGTTGAGACCCTGGGGTGTGCTAAGCATGTCTTCATCTTTTCAAGATGAAGGATGCCACTGTTCCAGGTGTGCAGATGCAGAACCACAGTAGCAAGCAGGACTTCAGCGTGGACCTGTGGAACTGCCTGCCTCTTGGTTAGAGTCAGGCGGTAGGGCAGGGGCATGGAGTGTGTGTGGGTGGACCCTTTAGAGGGTCCGAGACTAAATCCTGGCTTCTCCGCTGGCTGCTTCTGTTCCTCTTTTGGAAAATAAATAAGAGGATCCACTCAAGGTTTCCAGAAGAATAACTGGATTATCACTCAGTGTAATAACTCAATGTTTCACACAATGGCTGGTTTTTGTTAGATTCACAAATGACTTTAAAGAACAAAATAAAAACTCATGTAAAAAACTTGCAAAAAGGGCTAGGGATTTAGCTCAGCTGCATAAGAGTCTGCCTTGCTAGCAGGCAGTCGTGAGTTCGATCCCTGGTACCAATAAAAAGGAGAAAGACAAAAAAAAAAAAAAAAAAAAAAAAACTTGCAAAAAAACCTTTTCCCCAAGTAACTGTTATTTTGTATTCTTATTTTTTTTTTTTTTTTTTTTTTTTTTTTTGGTACTGGGGATCGAACTCATGACCTCACACTTGCCAGGCAGGTCTTTACACCACTGAGCTAAATCCTCGGCCCATAACTGTTATTTTGCATATTCTATCTTCAAGCAATGTAACTCTGCTGATTTTTTTTTCTCCCAGAATTTGTTTTGGTTTGGCATAGGACAAGCTACTGTGTTGTTACTTCCGACAATCATCTTTGCTGTGAAGCTGGCCAAGTACTATCGTCGAATGAACTCCGAGGACGTGTATGATGAGTGAGTAGCTGAGAGTCTTCTCTTGGGGTGGGGACCATTGACCAAGTAGTGCTGCTTCCCAGTGTCTGCTAAAGATGAGCTCTGGTGAGCCTGAGCTCGACCGTTCTTTGAGTAGCGGGTCGTTCCTCTTCTGGTGGGCTGGTTTACGTTTTTTACTGATTTTCTTACGCTTGTCCTGTTTTCTTTCTCTCACTTGATCTCAGGTTCTTTAACCAACCTTCCTATTTCTTGTTCACAGTTCTGCTCTGTCGGGGACTTGGCACTTTACTTTATGATAACTGTTATTACTGCTTCTCCTTTTGGCTCTGTAGTCTGCCTTTTGCTTGTGTGTGGTGACCTCGATGTCTGTCACTTCACTCGTCTCCTCAACATGTTTTTCTCTAGAATTTGCACTGTCTGCATCCATCCTGGAGTAAAAAGGTGGGGGATGTCATTGTTGGGCTTGGATAGTGACCAGAAAATAAATAATTCTATCTCCCCTTTTTGTATTTTATAGTGTTGAAATTCTACCTATGAAAAAGTAAGCCTTTTTTGCTTTTAACTCTCCATAAATGGGATGGGGGAGGCTTTTATTAGTATTTAACAGATTTTTAAATGAAATTAATTAACATCTTAATTGCATTAAAAGTGCTAGACATATCCAAGTAAAAATTATGATCTCTCTTAAAATGAGAACCAGCACATAGAAGGTACTTAAGAAACAGGAAGGAATGAACGTGATATGTGTTTATTCATCTATACAGTAGTCATTTCCATCCTCAGCTTCCAAAGGGAGTGGAATGCATATATTAGACCTTTGCAGAGTTTACATACCATCACGAACTTTTCATGACCATTACATTGTCTTTGTATTCTGTGGTGTAAACATTTCATCTTAGAGGTAACATGGTGTTTTTGGTATATTTATTTTTGTTACAGTATGGAAAATGGTAATAATGGTTATCATAAAGATCATTTATATGGTGTTCACAACCCCGTTATGACAAGGTAACTGAAGCCTGGGAGTGCATGCCTGTCGTGTGACGAATGTGCTCGTTTCCTGTAGATCAGACCCTGAGCCCTCTGCATGCTGCTGACCCCTCACTTGTCCCTGCCTGCAGGACTCTTTCTCTGGCTGTCTCCGCCCTACATAGCATTCCCCGATGCCTTAAGTTTGTGTTTTTAATGAATTTCTTAGCAGTGGATTTGGGCGGCCACTAAAGTTTGGTTTCATCTTAAAATGCTGTGTGTGGCCCCTCTAAATCATTGTGGATTAAACGCATGCACACCTTTGATTTAGCATTTCTCTGCACTAGATAAATTTAAGTATTTATGGTTTTCCAGACTTATCCTTTGTTCCTTCCTCCCTTGTTCCTTTCCTCCTTTTCTTCCAGTAAATTAACTATATTCAACCCAAAAAAGAGCTCCAACCTTTCTGCCAAATTCTGTATGAATTTTCATTCTCTAGAATTAAGGAGCTTCCTGTGGTTCTGGATGTTCACCAGGTATCTCTGAGTATTACCTACCAAGTGTCTGGGACCTTTCTGCTGAGATGAGGTGCGGAGAGGATACACAGGGCCCAGCAGGGAGCTGTCTCCTTTGGTGGATGTGGTCCTCCCTCTGTGCACACAGTTGGTCCCAAGCCAGTGTTCTTTGCCTCCCTATCAGGGAACATCGCAGGCAGGAGCAAAGCTGTGAGTCCAACATCAGTGCTAGGGTGGTCCCTTTGTCCTGGAAGCCCCACATTTTTCATGGGACACGTCCAGTTAGAAGATCACCAGGGAATCCCAGGGGTTTCTGTGTAGAGCCTCTCAACCTAGGCAGGGGAATCCTTATCTCAGGCAGGATTGCCTGGTAATAGCTGGTGTTGTACTTTCGTCAAAAGAAACAACCAGAAAGTTATCAACATTCGTCTTTTCAGCAAAAGATAAAAGATTTTTCCTAACTTACCACTTGAGCATTATACAAACTTCATAACCTTTAATTTACCATTTAATGAAAAGGAAATTGTCTTAATGTCTTTGGGCTGCTAGAACAAAATACTATCAACTAGATGGCTACTAAATGACAGGAATTTATTTTCCCAGTTCTGGAGGTGAGAAGTGACAGTTGTGCTGTCGGGCTCAGTGTCTGGTAAGGGCCATCTTTCTCACTGTGTGCTCTCACGGCAGAAAGGCTAGCGCTCCAGTCACCTCCCAGAGGCCCCCACACTAGATAATTTTGGCTCCTCACACCATCATCTGGTGCTAAGGACCTCAGTTTATGAATTAGAAAGGGATGTAAATGTTCAGACCACAGCAGAAATGGCCCATAGTCAAGAACAGAGACAGCAATGTTCTGAAATGGCAAGTGGCCTTCGTTTCATTTGCTTTTTGGAGTACACTGGACATGGTGGCTAAAGTCCTATGCTGTGAGGTTGATACAGGACAAGGGTCAGCTCCAGAGTGAGTAGACAGTACTTGGCCTGTCTTTTCTTGTGGTGCCACCTTTGCTGATGACTGAGATTGCAAACTGAAATCTTCAAGATCAAAAGGGCTTTTTAAGGCCTATGTGATCTCCAAATCAGTTCTCCTAGGACTTTAGTAGGACCTAGTGGGACTGCTTCCTGGTGCTTGCTTCCTGGCTGTAAAGTCTCCAGATGTCCTCTATACAGCCAGAAATGTCACTGAGGCTTCTTGGAAGACAGTGAAGAGAGGGACAGGTGTGAGTGGGAGGGAGTCATAAGTCAGGCCTCCTTGCAGCAGTGCTGAGATGGAGTTGGATACAAGATGTTTATCTTAGGCTCCACAGTTGTGCAAGAAAGCAGAAGTCCAGCTGAGAGCAGAAGTCCAGGTGGGCCTGCCAAAGCCTCAGCCCTTGATGGAACAGGTAGATCCCAGGGATTGAAGGAGAATGACAGATTCCCCGCTCTGCGCAGGTTGTGGCCAGATGGGTTTAGTAAAAAGTACTGGGAGCCCCTGACTCTGCGTGATGCTCCAGGCCTTGGTCAGAGCAGAGGTGGGGGTGTTCTTACATAAAGGCAAAGAGCATCAGTGATTTCTAACAGATGCCATCTCCTGGCCACTTCCTGTGTGGTTCAGGTTACCCAGAGCTCGTGGTGATGGAGACCCCAAGAGTGAATCCAAACTAATTCAACAAGGGTCCCCAACAGTGTGTGACATCTGCTCTGCAAGAAACATGGCCCGCCTGTCATTCCTTGGCCTCCTTTAGTATTCCATGGCCTGAACAAACTAGTCCTCAAATTGCCCCATCCCAGTGGCTCCTGATCCCCATCACATGAGAATTTGGGGGAACTGGTTTCAGTTGCTTAGATTGGTTTATGTTCCTTATTTCCTGGTTCTCAGTTTTCTGAAGCATCCCCTTTTACAGGAGGGAGTGAAGTAGACTTGGATCAAGTGTGCCCAGCCTCCCCCACCGTAGAAGGCAGATGTTCTTTAGCGGTGACCCCAGAGCCTGCCATCCTCACACTGTGCCGTCTGCTTCCAGTGCTGTGGGCTGGAGCAGGATATTCAGCCACCCTGCCTGCACCCTGCACCCTGTATCTGGAGCCCCAGGTCCCTTTAGTAAAGAGTTCGCTGCTTTACCGAGAGCGTAAGGGAGAAAGTGAGAGAGAGAGGAGGCTCACGGGACGGAGCGTGTGTGATTACTTTTCCACTACCGGATATCCCTTTGGAGGGTCGCCTGCCCTGCAGGAGCTTTCTGTCATGGGTGCCCTTCCTCCCTGCCCTTGGGTCTCCCAGCAGGACACCTGCTGCAGGGTAGCCTGAGGTTGGGACGGTGCTAGAGCCGAGCTGCACGCCTTCCCTGCAGAGTTCCCCTGCCCACTGGTCCTCCATGATCGCATGGAAACTGCAGAGAGCAGCAGGGCCACTGCTGATCGCTAACCAGAGAGCTGGCCTGAGAACATGCACAATCCAGCCCCTGCAGAACTTGCATTTGCTTCTGCTCTCCGGTCCTAGCAGCAGACTTTCAAAAGCTGCTTGTGGCCCATTCTGCACCTGCCAGTGTGGTCTGGTTTCCCCTACTCTAGGTCTCGGACACATCTTCTTAGTGACTTTCTCCACTTCTAACCTAGATGGTGACTAGGCATAGTTTCACTTGTCACAGTTTGTGTGTCTCTATCCTCCTTAGCCTGTTTCTAAAAGCTATACAAACAGAATCTGCAGGAAGCAGCTTTACTGACAAGCTTTTTATCCCCTGATAAATGCACAGAGGTGAGGTCTGTATTCATCTGCCTGCTGAAACCACACACAAATGCCCAAAAGTATTACATTTCTGTATGTTTTTGTTTTCTAGTGCATCACGATATTGATAGCTGATGTTGAAATGGCTTGAGGTGAGTTTCATGCTTTTGTATAAAACCGTTTATAGGATTAGAGCTTTCAGGGTGAGAATATTAGAGTATAATGTTCTGATGGTAATCCTAATTAGTGGAAAATCTAGGTTAACATGTAGGTTACACAGTATGATTTTTCATATATATAACACAGTGATTATACTTAGATGACTCTGTGTTATACATATGTGTGCTTATACTGTAAAAAAAGAAGTGCTAGTTATGTATTCAGTAGTATGGGGTTAGAAGCTTTTTTAGACTTTTTATATTTTAAACCATTTTTTGCAGCAAACATTTCTGTGATTGTGTTTTTTTTTTTTTTTTTTAATTATTTCAGAAACTAAAATCATACTGAGGTGACCCAAAAAAGCTACCCAGGGTGGCTGCTTCTTGTATACATTTGTGTTTTCTGTAGCACTTTCGGTAGGAACCCATTTTAGGGTTATGCCTTCCTGAGTTCTTTAATAATTCCAAGTCAGTTTCTCAAATTTTGTTGCATCCTCATTTCAGCAGCAAGACTCCCAAAGTGGAAAGGCTCACAGACTGCTGGTGGTGTCCCGGCCTATCTACAAGAACTTTCCAGATCCAGGAGGAACTTTGGTGGCAGCACTGACCCAGGCGGCCCTGAGGGGGCAGTGTCATTGGTCTCCGGGTGGTACTTGGTTAAGAATGAACACGATCACATTTACTGTGTGTCCATTATTATTTAAGTATAGTTCTCCCCTCCCATGTTTATTTTTGTTTTGTACTATTTTTACAGCAAATTCCTTTGCAGACACTACAATATATGAGTGTTTGTTCCCACCAGACACGTTTCTATGTCTGACAGCTGTTCAGATGAGGTAACTGAGTTCCTGACTTACTCCCACATGTGGAGTGTGCTACCCCCATACCAGTTTACATAACAGATGTATTTTTTTGTATAGTAAATTGTATATACCTTTTAGCCAAGAAGAGTTTTTTAAACAAATGACTACAGCAGTCTTCTAAACGAGCTTACTATCAGGTCAGTATTGACTTACTGGTGCTGTTGGAAGTAGTTCATTTTCACTAAAAGTGGGGTGAAGCCTGCAGCATATCTTTCCACTTGGATTTGCACCTGCTTTGTCAATGATTTTTATGATGCTTAGATATAGAACATGAGCAGTCACAGAGAAATCAGCTTCGCTTCTCCACTGGAAATTCAAAGAGAAAGGGAAGAAATAATTTGAGCGAAGGCAGCAATCAGTGCTCATCAGACAGTGGAGTTGTGTTAAAACATTCCCATCACGGTGTGCTCTTTGATGGAGTTTTTTCATTCATAAGGATAGGCATCAGCTGGAGTGTCGGTCAATTATGGGGCAATGAAATACTAGGAGAGCTTGTTGTGATTCTTAGATTTTGTATCCAGCATAAATGAAGCCTTTGCATTTGGTCCCATGCGAGTACAAGATCAGTATGTATTTACTTTGGCTGTTTGGGTTGGCTTTGTTATTTCCAAAAGTGACCAGCAGTGAAAAGCTGGTCAAACCAAAGTGAGCTTCTTTCCATGTTCACATCACTGTGTTGATCCATTTCAATAAAAAAGGAGCTTGAAAACGTGTGATGTGTTACTTCCTGGAGCAGACCGAGACCTGCCAGGTTCCAGGTGATGAAATGTGGCTTAAGCTATGTATTTTTTCCCCTCCTCTGCTGCCCAAGTCAGCTGTCTTTTAAGAACTCAGTTTTCCAGCTCTGAAGTCACCATTCCGTAGGGAACAGTTCCAAGTTGGACACCCTATAATACCCCCACAGGCAAATTCTGTTTGATATGCTCCTGAGTATACAAAATTCAAAAATGAGCTTCTGTAACACAACATGAGAGAGGCTTTGCAGTTTAGACAAATCATGTAGTGTATCGTTCTTTAAGAAGAAACCATCCTTTATTTTTTGAACCTAATTTTCACATCCTATCTTTTTAAACACCACATCATTTAAACCTGCTGAGCTTGTCTCTGGGGAACTGTTTTATTCAGTGGTCTCCCAGTGTCAAACGTGCAAGTGGTGGGAGGTGACCTTAAAGGTCTCATCTTTTTTCCACCCCACTGTGCTCTCATTAGAGCAGCATATTTTTTCTCTCCCGTTCTCCTGTGCAATTCATTGCCTTGAAAGAACTCTCAGCACTGCTCCAGCCTCTCCTTCCTCGCCTCCGTGGGTTCTTCAGCTGCTATGATCTGGCTTCCATGCTTCCACCCTGAAGGTGACATGACCATTGACCACTGGTGCTTTACATACACGGCCTTCCAAGACCCCCAAAAGAGCCCTCACCTGTGCTGCCCTGGGCTTGGCTGTCTGTCCATCAGCATCCTTCCTGTGCTCATCTTCTCTCCTGGTCCACCCCTCGCTTTCTAGCTGGGCAGTTCCATCAGGCTCACGCCTTCACCTGCCTCCCCTAGGTCTCTGATACTTTGCTCAAGACATGGTAGAGTTCTAGCAGTCCATGCCCCCGGGCCATCTCCACCAGATGTGCTTTGATCGAGGGGTCACTCTCTTCCCTATAATGGGCTGGACAGTGTCAGACTTTCTGGGCCTCAGTTCTATGTCTAGTTCCCTGGTACCTTAGGAGGAGTCAATAGGCAATGTGTAAGACAGTGCCCTTAGCTTGGTTCCACAATACATTACAAAAACAAAGACCACAGGTCCCTGATCTCTGCTATAAACTATACCCTGTCCTGTGCACCTTGCAGTACTTGCGTCCGTGTGTTCTTTCTTGAATTGCTTTACCCTCACTGTAGTCCTCAAGCCAGCTCTGCTTTCCTTGCTTCCAACCACCGAGCCTCTTTTCTGTTCCACAAAAACTACCTTTTTACTATTTGTGTTACCTCCTTTAGGTTAGTGTGGCATTATGCTGCTTTTAGGCTTCCAGTGCCTGTGTTTTGGCTTGACTTGTGGCTGCTTGTGTGGCTACTACATTTCCCAGACTCCCTTGCAGACAGGGAATGGAAATCGGCTTTTAGGATTAAGACAGGAACGGTGTCAGTTGTAGAACTCCTTGGTGCCGAATGGTCAGGGAGGTGGCCACAAAGAGCCCAGCATGCAATAAACAGGGACAATAAGTTCCCAGCGTGTGAAGGTCTTCGTACTTGGCTTGTTCCAACAAACAAAAGAGCACAACTAGAGCTTTTACAGTTTTTATTTTTTTTAATTTGTGTGTTTATTTTTCTGTAAGTTCCACTGCAGGGAAAATCAAGTTCACTGAAAATTCACTTGGAAAGAGTGAGCATAACCTCAGGACTGCTGGGCATTTTGGGGCAGGTGTTTCTCTGCTCACAATAATGCCATGGTGGGCAGAGCTGAGTAACCACCTTGCTGGTGGCATAGTAAGCTCGGCTCAGAGCACTGCACACCCCAGGGGCTCCCAGGTCTGAAATGCACAAAGCCCAGCCTTGTACCCAGCCCCCCAGTCAGTCAACACAAGAGGCCATGTGGTGGGCGCTGCAGCTGCTGGGCATCACTCTTTACAGACTCTGGGGTCTGATGGCCTCCTTGCCTTGACGTTTCCCTTGTCCATAAATCCATACTCCAGGAACTTGGAAAGTCTGCCCTCAGCCAGGTGAGATGGTGCAAGCCTGTAATCCCAGCACTCTTTGAGGCTAAAACAGAAGGATTGCAAGTTTGAGCCCAGTCCAGGCAATTGAGCAACTGAGATAAGGTTTTAACATAAAAAGGCCTGGGGATGTATCTCATTGCAAAGGCCCTGAGTTCAATCCCCTGTACTGCTAAATAAATAGCCCTGCCCTCTCTAGCCCTTAATCCGACAAACTGGCAGACTCCTCCAGCATGTTTAACGCCACCGAGCAGGATCAGGGCACACCACTGAGCTCTGCCTGGATAAAGTCCTTGCCCCACTGCGTCTCCTCAGGCCTCAGGCTACCTGGGTGGGACAGTTTGTGCCAGGAACAGGGCCGCCTTGTGGGATTTCCAAAATTCAGTCCCTTCTGTTCACACCAGACTCCTAACCCACCAGCCCTAACGAACCTCACCCCCACAACCCATTTCCACCTGAATCCATCCCATAGACGCAGTTGAATGGGTCACCAGAAAACATGTCTTCACCAAAATACGATTTTGATACAGAATCAGGTTATTTTCAGTCTTTCACTTGTTTAGTGCAATAAGGATTTTTTCCCCTGACATGAGTTAAATTCTATGTCATTTGAATTAAACTTAGAATTGATGGTGTGCAACAGACTAAGGCATGGTGACAACACACATTGGGCAGACTTTGTCGTTCATGCTTCATTTGGTGCGGGTAGTGCCTCCCGGTAACGGCAGGGCATCCCCAGAGGCGGCCGAGGTGACTCAGCTCCCCAGGGGTGACACCTCCCTGCATCCCTCAGGTGCTTGACATGCACTCTGTACAGGTCTTTTCCCTCACACACACTTTGTAAACCCGAGTGTAGTTTTGCATTTGCTAGAGCCCAAGGACAGGTTCACAAGACCTCAGCAGCCTTTGGGTGGACTAAACACGTAGGCTACCAAAGAGGCACTACCAGGAGGCAGAAGGAGCCCCAAGGTAGCCAGCCCTAGGCTCCAAGCAACAACCACTCCAGAACTCCTGCCACACCTTGGTGTATCCCAGATGTTGACGAAAAAGACTGTTGCAGGCAAGAGCTGGTTACAGAGCAAGCGCCTCATGGTTGGAAGATGCGAAACAGCCCTAATCCTGAGAGTACTTTGCAGGGCAGCACAGCTCTCCTCTCCCTTTCTCCTCCTTCTTCCTGTCCTCCCTTCTCCCTCCTCTTCCTCCCCCTGCTTCTCCTCCTTTTTCTTCTTGTTTTTTCTTTTCTCTTTCATAGTACTGCGGATCAGTCCCAGGACCTCACACATGCTACGCAGGTGCCATGAGCGATTGCCCCAGCCATGGCAGATTCCGATGCACTCTCCTTTTCTCTGGGAGGCTGCTCAACTCTTGGTCAGTGCATGTGCATTTTCTGCTGTGAGACACCCCACCCACCCCTTCAGAGAAGGACCTGTTTGTGTAGAGCCCTTTAAAGTGTGACTTCCCCCGCTTGGGTTCTTTCCTCATGTAGGGTTGCAGGCAGGTTTATGGGCAAAGGGCATCTGCTGCCCATAACTGGTGGCCCTGTCCTGTGGGAGGCTTGGCAGCCAACTCTGGGGTGCAAACAAAGAAGCATGTGAGAGGAATTCCATTTCCAGACTGGAGGGAGGATTCCGGTGCTGTACCTGGCCAGAACGATGGGGAAGCCTGTCTGCACGCCCACTGCCAGCTCTCCGACCCTGAGCAGTCTGAGTACAGCCAGCAGCCATGTGTGAGCTGAGCCTTTGCTGCCAGCCCCAAGTCCTTGCTGGGGACCCTGTGCTGAGGCCGTCTGGGTACCGGATGGCCAGGCCTGCCACATGCAGCTGGCAGCTTCTAGTATCACGAGCAACCCGTGTTCCCCTGCAACCATCCAGGCTGCCAAAGCTGAGAATTCTTCTCCAAGGCCCAGGGCCCTTGAAAACCCATGAAAGCAGCACAGCTGAGGAAAAGGGAAAGTCCCCTGCGGTGACTCTACCTGCTCTTCCTCACACAGAGACGTGGTACCACATCAGCCTCAGCATGCATTTGGGTCATGTTGGAGGATTCTGAGGCAAAGTAGTGTGGACAAGGTAGGTTGGCACACCAGGAGTAAACTTCACTCTGGTGACATGCAAGAGCCACAGAAGACGCTCTAAAAATGCTGATGCCCTGACCTACGCAGCAGATCATTTAAATAGCAGCTCCTCAATGGTGGGGGCCCAGGAATAGGGCTTTAAACTCTCAAGCTGGGCATGGTGGGGCAAACCTGTAATTCAAACACTCAGGGAGACTGAAGCAAGAGGATTAAAAATTCAACCCCAGCATTTAAAAATGTTCATTTTTTTTTTTTTTAAGGATGAGGTGTGGAGGACCACCTGGAAGACTTTCCTTGAACAGAGAGCAGTTGTCTCCATTTTGGCTAAAGCTGACCTTGTCTCCACGTACTGATAGGTACGGGGCTAAGCCATTTCCTTTCCCTTCAGTTGACTGTAAGCACTGTGAATAGGGCTGGCTGAGGTGCTGAGGTATAATCTTTGAAGCTAGGCCAGTCACTGCTGTTTCCAGCTCCGTGATTCCCAAAACATGGTAGAGCAGAGCAAGATGAAGAGCCACTGCTCCCGGGCTGTCAAGCCCAGGTTCAAGCCTCCAGATAAGAGGCTGTGACTTCCCAGGGCAGAAAAGCGTATGCACTGGAGCTGAAACACTAGGCTCCCAAAACATTAAATGCCACTCAGTTGTGTTATATGCATTGCTCTTTCTGCATATGCTTCTCTCTGCATTTGCAGTGGCACTTTTAGGCCTCTCACTAGTACAGCTCACGGTACTCATGTGTTTCCCACCATTCTCACAGTCACTCATCTTCAAGCCCCTCCCTTCTTCACAAATTAATAAAATCTAGGTTAGGCCTTGGGCTGAATCCTTTGTTTCAATGAACCTTCATCCTGGCTGGATGCAGGACGCCCTTGGCACCCCATAATTATAAATATATATTAGTGTCTTTATTCTCGCCATGAGTTGCACTGTAAGTGGTGGTAAATTAG